CGGCCTCGGTAAGCATCAGATAAATTCATCTTGTTCTGGTCTGTCTCGGATGAACGTAAAGAGCATAACTCAGGGCACAGCAGCACAGAATTGCAATGACTAAATGGCCAACGTAGGCAACGTAAGGATATTGCGTTGCGCATACACGTGCTCCTATCAGCCGTCTGCTGCCAGTCGCCGCGACATTAACGTCACACCCAGGACCTTTGTAAAGGATGTTTGAGCGTGTGTGAGTGGGGGGGGGGGGGGGGGAAGGGGGAGATAACAATATGATCCATTTATGTAGGTCATATTATTCTTGCGCTCAAACGAAAAGCGACAAAATGCAGTGTATTGAGTTGGCTGCAGTGCAAGATGGGACTAATAATGGGGTTAGAGCGTGGTTGAAGGGAATGTTCCACATTTGAAGATATCAAAGGATGCATCAGATATGATGAAATAAGCGGGATTGCAACCACGAGTATACTTTCAAGTGCAGAAGATTGCTCTAGACAACAAAAATTCTGTATTTAGTAAATATGCTCCTCATTACGTCATTGTGTAATTGCGTTTTGGTACGTTTCTATGACGTTGAAGTGCTGCCAAACTAGCGGGGAAAAATTACTACCCAAGCACTCAATGCATAACTCGACGAGACATGGCAGTGGCGGTGCTGGAGATGTTCGCAGAGCCAAATATAGTGATGTGCTCGGGTTTTGGGTCTTTCCCCATGTGTTCTTGCATATCTATCCGTGGGTTTAGCATGTTTTCTTGTATTCACATGCTCGGTTGGGGCGCTTTTCTGGAGTTATTATTTTACAAGACTTATTTCCGTAAAAACTTGCAATAATGTCCAACGTAGTGTAGGGTCTTCTCACATGACGTCACAACAGACCCAACTGCGGCTCAGCGGCCATGACAGGGGACAAGTCAGAGAGGTGCAGGCTTGACTGCGATGTGAGCGACGGTGGTTGCGCTGGTTATTCAAAGGTGCCTATCGAGATATCTAAGAGTTAATCCGCACCATGGTCCAGTTCTGTGCTGTCGTGGGATGTTCCAATGGGTCTGAACGAGAAACCGATCGCAGTTTTTTTCGTATCCCTCGAATGCTTACGCATTCAGACGACACATCCAACACACTTGGTACGAAGTGGCGGAGGAAGTGGCTTACTGCCTTTAACGGGAAGGATCTTACAGAAAAGCAAACAAAATATGCGACTGTATGCAGCCATCACTTTGTGTTTGGTAGGGCATTGCCACTGTTTTTTTCTGTTTTTTGTAGGCTGTTGTAAGGAGGGCTGGAATTGCGTTAAGGGCTGTGCCAAGCTAGCTTCTTGGTTGTCGGCAGCAGGCTGACTTCAATTTTTTCTGTTTTTGTGTTTGAGTACCTGCCGATGGCAGTAAATCTACCATTCAGCACACTTTGCTGCTGTACTGCTGGCAAATTTACTATCAAAGCAAAATGTTCTTAACACATAGTTGGGAACAAATGGTCAGCTACTTTCTACGTAGTATAAAAATAAGAGTTCTGTGATTCCACAATTTGACTTGATAATTTTTATAGTCTGTCACTGCTGTGACTTGTGTGCTGCTTTAATGTCACCATTTGTTTCAATAGGTTCCCAGTTACCGCCTCGAAGAAAAACTTTGTCATACTTAAAGCCCAGTTATGAATTTATGCTCATTTGTGTCGTCCATTGCGGGATATTTATGTTTGTCATGATTTCATGACTTGTCCCGTTATGTAACACAAAATGTTACCCGCTATTGAACCTCGCGCGGCTTACATAACATTGATTGAAAGCTGATTTAGGTCCGTTATGTCTGGAAATCGTGCTCACGGACGCTAGATTTGAACGGCTCGACGGTTATCTTTGCTGGCCTCGAATGTCGCATCGCCAATGGGATGGCAGGATTGTAATGACGTCGCTATGACGTCGTGCGGTTCTGAATAGCCTTGAAACATTTTACATGGAATAGCCTGCACATCTTCGCGGGCATGTAGCTCAGAATTAGAGGATGTTTGGTCTGAAAGAGAGCAGGACTGTGAACTGCAACGATTGATCTTCAAATTCCCTATTTCAGTTTACAGTCCCGTGCAAATGTGAGACATGAATTCCAACGGGTGCGCGTTGAGACTTTGCACAACCCAAAGATGATAATAATGCCGCTTGTTTTATAGAGAGACATTTCAAATGAATACCGTACACAAGCCCATTAAATGATCTTTCTCACGGTGGCCAGATCTTCTGCATATGTCCTGTTTGTATTCAATATGTGGTGAAATAAACAGGTGCTGTGACTTGAGTCGTCGTTGTGGATTCCTGAAGTAATGCGTACTGGGAAGATGCACACTACCAAGGGCGCAGATAAGGAACGACCTGCTCCGCACCCCTCGGAGGCCCGATTTTTTCGTGTTTCACCATAGAGAGCCTGAACATTAAAAATCACCGTGATGCGCACTCACCGGGCTCCGGGACTGTCCCTTATGTAAACTCTGGCTACACCCGTGCAAACTATACGCCATCGGATGACTTAATGCGTACCTCGAAAAGCTTGCTATAGCATCATATAAAAGTTCGAACTTCGTGGAAACATCTAGGTTAAGCGAGAAAGCACGCTGGGCTGAGAGACATGAAAATGGACATCAGAAAATGTCGATGGCTTGTTCGTAAGGTCAAACACAGGGCGCTCCTTTCAGCTCCAAAGCTTTCTAAGAAGACTCGGCACATCGTACACTTGGTAATGAAAAAAAATGAATAAAAAGGTATCATGTAAGAAAGCGACAAAAAGTCACAGCGTTGACCGAAAAACAGAGAGAACTCAGAAGCGGACGCTCCAGACAGTGGTACATAAAGTGATGCACAAAATATTGAGTTTACGTATAAGGGTGACAACGTGCCTCGAAATGCGGGCTCTTATACCTCTGACGTCTTAGCTCCAAGACAGGTGAAATGCTGTTCGAAAAGCAAGTTCAAATATAAGCTGATGGTTTTTGGTAGTAGTGAGGTCGCGTGGGATATTGCAACCGTTCTCTGCCCAATTAGAGGTGTGCTGGACGTACAGTAGCACAAAGGGTGCGATTGCGGGCAAAGGCGCTCTTAATAAAAAAGTTATATTTTGATTTTACAACTTCTAAACACGGTTCCGTATAGAAAATAAACTCCGCATTCGATGATGTCACTCGTTTTCTCTTCCACAATGCATTACCGATGAAAATTGCCTGCAAAGTCGGCCAATGTCATGACTTTAAAGCGGTTTTCAAGCTCCGACACATGTCAGCTACCGGAGAGATTGGTTAGTCTGATTCACACTTGTAGCTTGTAACAGCTAAAACGATGTGAAGTGAAATGGCGTGGCTTGACGTGACGTGACGTGACGTGACATATGGGCCTATAGCCTGGCCGTCATTTATGCGGACGCTTACTGCTAAGTCTTATCAAAATACACCTGCTTTGTACACACTTAACACTGACACATCCAATGGCATTACACCGTGGCGGGTTTCGAGGTATTCATATGCAACAAAGAACGAAACGATGTAAAAAGTGCATTTATTTCCAATGGATATGCATGCATGCAGAGACGACCGTCAAACCTCTCGACCAGCGACAGCCGATGGCGCAAAAGACGACAGGTAGACTGTGTGAGCGGAGGAAGATGCCTGGTCGGGTGGAGGAAGGGGGGAACATTTTCCCGCACTTGACATGTTAAAAATGATGAATTATGCTGAACTGAAATCCAGATGAAAACTGCGTCAGTGTTTTTAACCTGCATCAAGCCTCAAATACCCTGATCCTTGGTTTAAGTCGCACCCCGAAATTGGGAAGCCCTAGGCCAACATCATATGGGAAAGAAGACTTCCGAATAAAGGCATATGGACGTTTTCCTGCATAAGGTAGCACTGAATTCAGTACGTTTTTCTTTCGTAAAGACATAACGTCACACGCGCGATCAGCTATTATCGTCCGCTGTACAACATAAGTGCAGTGGGACTCAGAAACGTCTGACAAAACCGGCGAAGAGCGGTCATTTCTACATGACGCGATCTCATTTTTGCACGGGCTGACCGAATGGTTAAGATGCTACAAGTCGTGCTTTTAAATTGCTCACGGCCGGTTTTTCCCGTGCCTCAATAGTGTTTGCTTGCGCCATTCCAGTTCTGCCATCCGCCGGCCGGACAGATGCCGCTGCAAGGACTATAATGCTGCGTTGGAGTGCAGTGCATTGCACCGCCGTTAACCGCCTTGCTGAACAGTGGAGGCAACTCCAAAGCACGTGCAATACTGAGCGACGCACGAGGGGTTAAGGTATGCGGTTGTGGTTAAGCTGCGTGTTTCTGGAAAGGCAGGTACGGGTTTGTTTCCCGAGGTTTGATTCGCTTCCTCCCAGTGTGAGAGGCATGCGTATGACCGTTTTTCAACCATATGACATCAGCTGATGAGCGCGTCGTACTCGTCACCCCAATGACGTCAAGGGACGCGCCATCCATCCTGCAGCCCGGTGGGTACATGGCTGGGTCCGTCCATCACTCGTCTCTTGCCGTGCCGGTGACGCCACACGTTCCGGCGCATATCCTGATCCCCGTCCCTCCGCACGTCCCGGCGCGCGTCCTGGTGCACGTCCCTCCGCACGTCCCGGCGCACGTCCTGGTGCACGTCCCTCCGCACGTCCCGGCGCGCGTCCTGGTGCACGCCCATCTGCACGTCTCGGCGCGCGTCCTGGTGCACGCCCCTCCGCACATCCCGGCGCACGTCCTGGTGCACGTCCCTCCGCACGTCCCGGCGCACGTCCCTCCGCAACGTCCCTCCGCACGTCAGCGGCACTTCCGGTGTGGCCTCCCTTGGGCGGGACAGGTGGGCGCGCAGGACGGCGGCAGCGCCTGTCTTCCGTCCTGGCCAAGGCCCGGCCGGCGGGCGGTGGCCAGCGGCCGGGCTGGAGGCAGCCGCCGCCGCCCTATTTAAGGTGAGCCGCCGTCTCCGGACGGCACACACGTGCTGGTCTGCCGACACGGGACGGAACGACACACCAATACCATGCTCAGGGTCCTGGTGAGTAAACCGCGGCCGCTCATTGACATAGACTGGCCTTGTATAAGCTAAACCATTCCAAACTTTGTATATTTTGAAATTGGCCTCCTGATTTTTCTTGCTCTTGTCATTGCTATATATCATGGACGGCAATTGGCAGGAACCAAGAATGTGCTAAAAACGTGAGATGTGCCATTGATTTATGATACGTTGTCTTTAGAACTGCAAGATAGCAGACACGTTTACTTCTTTGGCCTACCCTAACTCAAAACAAAGCTTTGTTAAACATTAATCAAAACTTCGTGAAGACAGCCGACTAACCAGTCTAGATATAGCCACTTTGCCTTACAGCAGAAGAAACAAATGCGACTTTTCGTGATTAGTTTTAATTCAGATAGGACTCTCGCCCATATCATCCAAATTCGGCAAACCGGAAAACCCGCTGTTTATGACAGATGTGTGGTCGTTCCCTAGTTCAGTCAGACTCAAATTTAGAATTAACTAAATTTTTGCTGAATGATTGAAAGTGGCTCTTCCGGCAACTTTCAGTGACTCAGGATCAAGCTGCGCTCACAGGTTTTGCCTGAATTCCAGACTAAGTGGCTCAAATACAAATGTTAATTTCACAGATTTTCTTGCTATCACAGTCTGTACGAGCAGCAACCACAACCCCGCCTGATGCCTGCAGACACATAAGATGCCATTATTGGTATATGCAATCCATAAAAGGCGTTATCTTTAATCGTCTTCAATGGTCCCACCGAAATCGATTCATCAAATTGAAACGACTTTTGGTGGGGCCGGGACAGCTCGAGCCCGTGTCGTGCAGTTTTTGCTCAAAGTCGAAATCAGTCTGGCAAGCTATGAGTAACTTCGAATGGATTCCGCCAAGGCGGGGTGAGCACCATGGTCCTCTTTCAACGGCCATACTGCAGTTGGGTCTTTGACGTCACTTTTAAAGCATGCCAAAGTATAAATGACGCAGTTCTTTCGCAGTGGATCCATATTTCTCCGCTCCTCGTCCTTCACGAGGTGCGCACTCGCCCCAAACCGCGGTGTTGGCGGATTCGGGCTGATGCCGTCTCTTGCTGTCCTCAGATCGTGTGCAGCTGGCTGGCCGCCTGCCTGGCGGCGCCGCAGAGGTTCGGTGGCCAGTTCCAGCAGCAGCAGCAGTTCCAGCAGCAGCAGTTCCAGCAGCAGCAGACCACCACGCCCGTGCCCATCCTGCGCCAGATCAGCAACTCCAACGACGACGGCTCCTACACCTACGGCTACGAGGCGGCCGACGGTTCGTTCAAGCTGGAGACGCGCAAGGCCGGCGGTGAGGTGTTCGGCAAGTACGGCTACATCGACGCCAAGGGCGAGCTGATCACCATCGAGTACGGCGCCGACCGGCTTGGCTTCCAGCCCTCCGGCAAGGGGATCACCGTCGCCCCGCCCACGCTTGTTGACGAGTCACTCAACATTGACTACGACTACGAGGATCCGGCACCGGCGCCCGCGCCGGTCCGCGCCGTGGTGCCGGCGCCGGCGCCGGCGCGCGCTGCGCCGCAGCCGGCCCGGCCGGCGCCCCGGCCCATCCAACAGGCCGAGTTCGCCAGCCGGTTCGCCGACTTCGACGCGCGGATCGCCCGTCTCTTCAACCGCGCCTAGAGCGCCATGCCTCGGGTTCTGCCGTCGCGAGTGGGCCAGCCACGTTGTGAGCAGGCCGATGGGACTGCTGTTCAGGAGCGCCGGCGCAGGCCGCGCCACTTCAGGCCGTCATGATGCCGTTGTCAAGGCGACGCCTGTCAAGCTCCGAAGTCCCCCGCCTCAGGGGTCGGCCACCGAGTGTGCGTCTGCCAACGGATTGAAGTCTTATCCGGACCGGAGACGGTCGAGGCCAGTTGCGTCATTGGTGGACAACTTTGTTCGCTGACACATTTTGTAGCTTGTTATTCTCTGAAAATACTGAAGATAATCAACAACCAAAATGGTCAACATCGGTGCGCGATAGCTGCGTTTCCTGCGCTCCATAGATCCATGGAGTATTTCTGCGTGTTCCTCTGTCAGAAGACAAAATCAACTGTACGCAAATCTCCTCAAGGATCGCTTCAGAGTTTGTAACTCGTTTTGGGTATGGTATTTGCGGTTGCTCCACTTGTGATGTGTCATGTTTGTATACAAATTAATATACATATGAGACAACAACAGTTTATGTGAGTCGTTTTTAGGCGTGCATGCTTAAGTAACAATAGCAACTGCACGTAAATGCAACTTTTACCATGAGTGCACGTGTGCAAGCTTGCGTGCAGGCCTAGATGTGTGTGCTTTATACCCATTGCAATGCTGGTTCCATTCGACGTTGATATGTGCAAACATATTCCATATGTCTGTGCTTAACCCTACTCTTGTATTGCACACCCTGCATCATTCTAGACAGAACGAAAGACGCAGACTTTAACCAGCATTCACGTAGGACAGTCGGGGTACATCTGCCGGATTATCGATGCATAGGTGCACACACTCTTGCGGGCATGGGATCCCGACCGGGCATTACGCCACACGCCGGGACCGACGTCTGCGTGTGTGTACCGAAACCCACACCCATCATCGGAACATTGCCCATTGGGTATTAAAGACCATGTTCTGCACCTGCATCCTTCGGTTTTTGCGCGGGCGCCTGTATATTTCATATTTCATATATTTCTTAACTTTCCACAAGGTCCAGTGGCTTTTTAAAAGTTACACGTCATCATTGATAAAACGGGCATAAAAGAGACACTGTGAGACCTAGTAAAAATAGCCTAATACATCACACACTGGTCAAGGGATCATCTCGGTGAATCACGCCATTGCATTCACATTGTGGCATCACACACAATCGAACTCAAACATGCGAACTCACACACGCACCCACTCATATGCCAACATTCGCCTCACTCAGTAGAAACTCCATAAGTTGGCGCTTGAAGCGGCTTAGACTCTGAACATTGCGCAAGTCGGGCGGCAGGTAGTTAAACAAATCCGATGTTCTGTAGCTAAATTGGCGAGTGTCAGAATTGCTCACCGCTCGGGGGCGCCTCAGCTGATTAGCCTGTCGCGTTTCATGAGTGCGCTCAGCACGTGTGAACATTGCGGCTATATCTGGTGGCTGACCCGTGAGTAAGACTTTTTTGAGCAGGCACAACATATGATATCTGACGAGGTGATCAGCACTAAGCCATCGCAGATTCCTGACAACATCCGATATATGGTCACACCTTCTCCTTCCGCTCACAACCCGCGCACAGAAGTTCACGAGTTTTTGCACGCGATGGAGCTAGGTGGCTCCGTGAGTACCATGCAGTGTTATACAGTGTCTAATGGAGGAAAGAATTAGAGCTCCGACTATGCGAACGAGGGTGTCTCTTGGGAGTACATGCTTGACATGGGACAGGGCCATCAGAGCGCCCGTCGACCTGGCAACAAGCTGATCAATGTGCGGTTCAAATGTGAGATTTCTGTCCATCACCACACCAAGGTTTTTGACAGTAAGTTGACATTTTTGACTGTAAGGCTTTCCATCGACTGCAGGCCACAATTCATTACATTATCTGAAGTCAGCAGGTCATTTTAAGGCATCATGATGTTCAGCTTTTATGCTGACCGTAATCGACCTTTATTATCATACCGGAAGACAGTGCTTAAGTGACGTTATAAAACAAACATGGGTTGCATTGTCAAAGCTCCACACTTTTAAGTTGTGCTTATGGTTACGAATGAGTAGGCTTATGCTTACATGCGTGACTGATGCACGCGAATCACTCGTGACCATGAGCACGTCTTAAGGGCGCATTCCACCTTTTTGCATTTTTCACTTATTATTAAATGAGACTCGTTCGATTTCATAAAAATGTCAGTTTCTCGAAACCCTTCTGATAAGCTCAGAGTTTCGATTTGAAATACCCGCTCCTGAGGGAGAGACGTCATTCGACTCCCTGCTCACCACCATGATAATGCATTTCATTTGCTTTGTCTTTTCAATGCGTGTGTTCTGTAATGTTTGCAGCACACTTATGTGTCAACATGTTTGTGAAATAAATGCCACGAATGCTTGAAACACTTTGTTTAGAAAGAAAGATACGCGAACGTGGAGCTATTAGGCCGCGAATTCAACGAAACGTTTTACTAAGGCTTGATTTCTCTCCTGGCGCGTACCACAGTGGGTCTTTTCGAGGTGTACTTCTTTGCGAATGGGCGCATCATGTCACCTATGCGACGCGCTGTCAAACTTCAACAGATCCACTTCCCGCCAACAGGCTCTTCTAAAAGAACGTTTGTGATTGACCCGCTGGGCCAATCACAAACGCTCTTTTATTCCCACCGATATAGATGCGCACGGTCGTGGTAATGACGACGGTGGTCGCAAGGTACTGCAGTGGCACTAGTGCTATTATTGTTAACTAATGCTGAGATTTCACTAGAGTATGTTTTCAAAAATATACCCCAAATGTGGGACACTCCCCCCAAAGCGTCGGATTTTGACAAACCAATGACTGTTTGATACCATCGTTTAACCACTACCTCGTGGTATAATGAATGTCAATTACTGTCAATATGAGAACTCCAAATTCATGATGCCGAAAACTCGGAGCTGAAGGCATTTCTTGCCAATATCAAAGTCGTTTTTAAAACAGTGAAATATCATGAGCCGAAAACATATTTCTAAGTCGCTTGTGGGTCCAAAATTAATGGTTTCCTCAAGTTGATATATTTCCTTATTTAGATGTGATCCTGCCCAGGCTCCTTGTAATGTGACTCTTCATAATGTTTGAGATCATGACCTTGAAATCCTACCCAATCAACGGACACTTCCAAAACATTTAAACTAACATCCTAACATTTGTGTGAAGGTCTGACAGTTGGGTGGGAAAATTATCCATGTCACCAGCAATTTCTTGCAACACTTGTAAATTTTGAATTGACTACCTACAGTGCTTCAAGTTTCAAGTTTCGGAGAACACGTCCTCGTTTTCTGATACCTGACGCCGGAATCAGCTGTTTGAAATGAGACAACCGACCACACGCCAGTGGCAATGTATCATATAGTGTGAAAGTTGAACTTATATGTGTTGTCATAGAGTAAGCTGCATTACAAGCAAGCTGGCTGCCTTACGACGCGTAGACGAAATACGCCCGTCTGCGCTATTTCGTAATTCGTCGTGATTGCGACAAGACAGTTTTTGGGCCGTTTAGTCCGTCAGCGTTTGTTCGACGGCAACTACCACCTCGGTTTCGGTTGTTCAAGTGAAAACCATGTATCCACATGGGTAATGTAAACGTCCACTTACCGCCTAAATGCCGACGAGTCACTACAGTCATGTCGGTCATTTATTGGCATGAAGTCGGTCTGGGGCATATTTCCGATACGTTGTGCCAACGATACATGAAAGATGCATGTTGTATCGACGATTCAGTATCGGCGATACCCCTGCACAATGGATACATGTATCACCCGACATCTTGCAAGTAAGGTCGCGCCACTTTGAAGCTGTCTGTGCCTAGTCTAGCACATACCAAACACATTGCAGTGTGCACGATGCACATGCATCCCAGCACTCGGCACAGCATCCAGACTGGTCCCATTATTCCGTGAGGTCTTAAACACACGTTTACACCGATGGCTATAGTCTCAACAATACGCGAGAGCAGAGATCTGTCGCGCTCACCCCAAGATGCGAGCACACTTTCGACCACAAGCGCACGGGCAGATAGAGTGAGATGCTGTGCGTCAGCTGCGTGGCTCGAGACTGTCATCCGTCGCATAGCTCTGGGATAAATTACCCCAATTTTACCCCAACGGGCTGGATAGCCTGATACCACAAAGCGGGTTTTAAACCGCCACGAACACTGAGCAACACAAGCCGTGCCAATTTTGTGCTCTGTCTTTCGATGTAATGTTTTGACGCCATGATATGTGCTATCACCGCATGTTCATCGCTCATATACCCCCTTCCCCGCCCCTTTCGGCCCTTAAAATCGGCACTACAATTTTCCTGGCGGTAGGACCCTGCTCCTGGCAAAATAAATGAGTGAATGAAAATAAATTTAAGACGCCAATTGAACCAGACTAGCAAAAAACGTTCGTAGCTTAGCAGTGTATTCAGCATGTCAGGTGATTTAGCGTCGCTATCTTCCACGCCTACGTTTGCGGGGGAAAACGAAGCGAAACACTACGTCGGAAAGCCAGGCTTGGACCAGCGATCCTCCGCACACTGGTGAGTGCAGGTGGATCCGGAGAACACGCTGCCAACGTCCACTGGTTTAGTTAAAAGACGCCATTTTGGTGCGTCCAATCCCTTAGATGTACGTATGTCCCACTTTTGTTTGATCCCGACCATGTCCCGCGCCATCTAGAACATCAGACAAGCAGTTTCTATGATTTGTTTGCGAAGGCTGATATTCTTGGCCAGAAAAATTAATGCACTGAGTTCTATCACTCCGTGCCGGCTGTTGACTGTGAGCGACAGTATTCGCACGATTACGTTGCCCGTAATATCTCGCAAAGTAGTGTTGTTCTTGATTGCCAGTCAGTCGGTCGGTCGGTGGGACGTCACGGTCGTGGTCTTCGCTTCTGAACGTCACTCGTGCACGGGCTTGATTATTCCCTGCCACGCACAGCCGGTGACGCTATGTGGAGGATCAGTGACTGGCCGGGCAATGTCGACAATTATCATTTGTCAAACCGCTGAAGGCAGCATAGCGTACACTTTACTACTTCACCTTGTTTTTATTTCATGTGCACATCTCCGAGACTTAAACCACATTTCATCACATCTCAATTGTAACATCTGCATTTGTAACGTATTTCGGACAGGGAAGGGTCATGGAGATGAATGTGGCAATGACATCCGATTTCGTTACAAAAGCACTGTGATGCCAGACTACAGAGATAGGTAGGTCGTCTGAAGCATCGCTCTTCAGATCTGCAAGCCGCGACAGCCACAGTGAACTATGATCCTGCCCAACTGGCAACTATCATCGAAGCCCCAGGACATCCTTTAATTCACATGCACTGTGTAACAAGGTCCATAGGACTACGACCACTTGCAACAGCAAATATAACGTACCGATGTACCCGCGGTACCCGATGTAACATTGCATGTACTCGCGGGGACTGTGCAGCCCGTTCAGTATGCTACGTATTCCGCACACTGGCATTCACAAGTAGACGTCTGACGATGCACCTACAGGGCCGTGGTCCAAAGGAGCATCTGAAAGACTGCCATGACAAATGTTTCATGAGAAATCTCCTGTGCTCTAATACCATTATCCTGGCAAAATGTGACGACCTGAAAAGGCTGCCCATCATCAAAGCTCTTTACAATAGGGATATGTCGCCCATCATGAGCATTCGAAGTAGGGTGGTGAGTACGTCAGCCCTCTTTGATGCGTATGAGCGACGTGAATGGGCACTTTCAACGGAAGCATTGTCACTCTTCCGTTGTGGGCACCTATAACAAGAAGTCATGCAACGCAAAGGGCTTATTTGAATGACTCTTAGTACAAAAACATTTGAAAAATGGTTAGTACATGAGAACAAAATGTTTTCTTTTGACATATCAGTCTTTTAAATAAGGACTGTGACGTTCTGCGACATTATATGCGAACGTACTTTTGAAGCTCGCTCGGCCATACGAAGAATCGAAAACACCCGGAAAAGAATCGTTAACAGGCAATTTAGTGTCGCATTGAACGATAAAGGTCGGAAGAAAACCCTCTGCCTATTTATATGCATATATATATATATATATATATATATATATATATATATATATATATATATATATATATATATATATATGTATATATATGTGTGTGTGTATATATATATATATACATATATATATATATATATATATATATATATATATATATATATATATATATATATATATATATGTATATATATATATCTCTCTCTCTATCTCTCTCTCTCTCTCTCTCTCTCTCTCTCTCTCTCTCTCTCTCTCTCTCTCTCTCTCTCTCTCTCTCTCTCTCTCTCTCTCTCTCTCTCTCTCTCTCTCTCTCTCTCTCTCTCTCTCTCTCTCTCTCTCTCTCTCTCTCTCTCTCTCTCTCTCTCTCTCTCTCTCTCTCTCTCTCCTCTCTCTCTCTCTCTCTCTCTCTCTCTCTCTCTCTCTCTCTCTCTCTCTCTCTCTCTCTCTCTCTCTCAATGCGTACGTACATGCGTGCGTGCGTGCGTGCTTGTGTGTGTGTACATGTGACCCTGCGGTGCACGTGAGTCTCAGTTATAGAGCACCACTACTCGTGGGTCTCTCACACGCCGGGCTCATGGGATAAGTGGGATGACTCATGACTGCTGCGTATACGTAGGTGTCATGTTTGCAATATACACTATATCCATGCGTTCCACATGTATAAGGTTATCACTCATGACACTCCTGAACGCTGGGCTCTTCGGATGAATATTACGTTCACTTCTGACCATTAGGTACTTGCAATAGCGAGAAGGCCAAGATCATGTCACAAGGTGTGACCTGTTGCGCATTAAAGAATACTTAGGTCGCGTTTCTCTCGTCCATGCTACAGAAACATGTCCCTGGTTTGTTATTTGATTGGCAAACGAAATCCAAAATTAATGACCTGCTGTATCTTATTTTCATGTGGAGAGATGCGTTCACCACATCGCTGCGCAGCTTGCGACTGCGTACATTAGCTCCGTAGGTGTTGTCACTCGGCCCTGTGTCAGGGAGTTTGCCGCGGGGCAAACACTCGGCCCTGTGTCGGGGACTTTGCTGGGGTGTCAACACTCTGCCCTGTATCAGGGAGTTTGCTGAGGCGTCAACACTCGGCCCTGTGTCAGGGGTTTGCTGAGACGTCAACACTCGGCCCTGTGCCAGAGAGTTTGCCGCGGCGTCAACACTCGGCCCTGTGTCAGGGAGTTGCCGCGGCGTCAACGCTCGCCCTGTGTCAGGGAGTTGCCGCGGCGTCAACGCTCGGCCCTGTGTCTGGGAGTTGCCGCGGCGTCAACGCTCGGCCATGCGGCCGCCACCGGAGCCAGTGCCGCTGCGGCCGACCGAGGTCGCACCTGGCCGCGCCGTTACGTGTTGTGAGCGGCCAGCGATCGCGAACGTGACAAGCATGGGCGTGGTGCCAGTGACGATCCAGCGAATGGACGGAGCTAGACAGGAGCCCGGATCGGACCGGGTCTGGGGGCCTTCGGCCGGACACGAACACGGACGGGCGCCGGGGCGGCTGAGCGCGCTCTCACCACCGCCGATTTCCATCGACATGAAAACAGGGTTTTGTTCTGGAACCATGAGGCTTCGCCTTTACACACGGTATACAAGAGGAAAACCCTAGTTTACTGCGCACTGTCGCCTCCCTTCCCCTCCCGAGAATCTCATTACCGGCTCGAAGTCGCAGATTTGACGGCGACGAGCGGAGTTTGCGCCTGGACTCGGCTTCGACGAAGTTGAAACGTTACAGCGGCCTCTTATCCCGTGCCGGGGGCGTCGAGAGCTGCACACGTGCCGCTGCGGCTGCTTTGGCACCGCACACAGATGGTCTCATTGCCCAGGGATTAGACGAGCACCGAGGCCAACGGCAGCCAGCGCGGCGGCGTGACGTGCGCCAGTCACATCGGATCAGGCTCCGGTCATACCGAATCAGGCTCCAGCCACATCGGATCAGGCTCCAGTCGCACCGGATCAGGATCCAGTCACATCGGATCAGGCTCCGGTCATACCGAATCAGGCTTCAGTCACATCGGATCAGGCTCCGGTCACACCGAATCAGGCTCCAGCCACATCGGATCAGGCTCCAGTCGCACCGAATCAGGCCCCAGTCACATCGGATCAGGCTCCAGTCGCACCGGATCAGGCTCCAGTCGCACAGGATCAGGATCCAGTCACACCGGATAAGGCTCCGGTCACACCGAATCAGGCTTCGGTCGCACTGGATCGGGATCTAGTCACACCGGATCAGGCTCCAGTCAAACCGGATCGGCTGCGGTCACACCGGATCAGGCTTTATACTCACACCGGATCAGGCTTTGGTCACACCGAATCAAGCTCCATTTACATCGGATCAGGCTCCAGTCACAACGGATCAGGCTTCGGTCCACCGGATCAGGCTTCATTCACACCGGATCAGGCTTTATTCACACCGGATAAGACTGGCCATGGACCATTTTCTGCATTGCAGCGTGATCCTCTCATGCCGGTAAGTTAACAAGCCAACGATAGCGATAGTGGCATAGTGTCCCTACCGTCCGGCCCGGACGAGACGCTCCCAGCCGTGCGCGGGAGACGGTCCCGGATCTTCGGACCAGCCGCTGCAGAGGACCGGACCGTGCCCAGCGCTCGCGTCTCTCCGCGGGGCAGCGTCCGGGCCGGGCGGGACGCTCCCAGCCCGTCCGCGGAAGCGGGCGAGCCGGCCGGCCGGCCGCGCCCTCGCCGCCGGGCATCACCAAGGTCACCGGCGGCGGGGGGAGGGGTCATCAGGGCCACGGAGGAAGGGCGCTTGGCACCGGGAGGGGCGCCGCTCATCTGCAGCGACGACACTGTGTCAGCGGGTAACACAAGGAACCGGTCGGCCGTTCGCCGGCCGGGGCCGCCGGCAAGGTCGCGCCGGAGGTCGGGCACGCCTGAAGAACCCACCCAGCACGTGGAAGTGAGGTTATGACTCCACTCGCTCGCCGGACCGGGTTTAATGGACAGCAGCTGGACTTCCAGGTTGGGCTGGTGGAAACGAATGGTCGTCATCGTCGCCAATAATGCAATGATGTTGTGTTGGGCTGTGATATTATCGCGAATGCGTTGCATGCAGCCTACAGGTACGATTTACAGCGACGAGTTTGTTTTAGCTTGGAGTGATTTCCATCGTGGAACGTAATCAAGACAGATCCCAGACACGTCCGGTGGTAGAAAGGGGAAGAGGAGGAGGAGCCGGGTGGAGGCAAACTGAGGAGGAAATCGAGAGGGACAACTGCAAAATTACGAGCATGCGTGGAGCACGCGCTGCGGTGCACCGCCAGCCAGAGCTGGCGGCGGCCGAACGTCACAGGAAGCTGCTCATTCCGACAGCCCGGCAATACACTGCCAGCACAAAGGCGCACAACTGTGCGCCGTTGTCGGCCCGACACCGCTGCGTCCGAGGCATGCCATGAAGCGGTGGGAACGCGTGCAGATGACACGGGCGCGCACAAAGCGACCAGCGTCGGTGCCTCCGCGGTCCGGCCGGCCGCCGTGCCAGCTGACGACGGGCCGCGCCCGAGCCAGCGTGAGCCTCGCCGCGGACCGTGCAGCCGTGGGCCGGGCTCGGCGGCGCCGGCGGCCGCCCGGATGAAGTACGCGCCCAGGGCGGAGCTGTACCTGAGCCGGTTCGCGGAGGTCGGCCTGCTGCGTCCGCTCCCGCGACGCTATGTGCGCGAGGCGATGGGGCTGAAGGCGCCGGGCCGGGTCAGGTCGGGGCAGCGGCCTCTGGCGTCGGCCACCAGCGTGACCGGAACGCCCCTGGAAGCCTCCCTGGAGAGGCCCAGCTCGCCGGACAGCCGCACCGGCCAAGTCTACAAATGGTGGCGCAGACAGCGCGCCGTTGTTGTCGTCGCGTTCGCTGCTCTCTTCATTGTGCAGGTGATGTCTGTCAGTGGCTGGGTGCGGCGCTCTCACTCTAGCGGAAGGTGAAGTGACCCCAGATTTGATGGGAGATGCATGTTGACTTGTACTACAAGACGTTGGGGAAATCAGTGCGCCCACATCACAATCACTCTAATGGCAACGCATGCCAGATTCAATATCATGCCGAATTTTGAGGAGGTCGGACATCAGGTGCAGTCTTTTAGCATAATCTGGTTCAGTGATGTGTGATACGTGACACAGTCGTGCGTTATTTAGATCATACCATTTTTGGATCGGATGTCTGAAAGGTGCCCATCTTAAGACGAATGTTTGTGTTTCCGTATCGTGCCTTCTAAAGCGTGGCGAGGTCAGTTCTCAATCCACTATGGCTGCACCGCGCTGACTGATGCAGCCAGCTCGTCTGCGTGTATGCCGCGGTATTAAAATAACCCCCTTTTGTCTTGAAGAAATCACCAAATACTTTTGTGGCGCGAAAACCTGTGTTGTCGTTAATTGTTCCACACTGCCGAATGATCGCCGAGGGGATCGCTCAAAGGTTGCATTTCACTAGCTGGAGACGTCGACCTCTCATCGGCCGCCGATTGGCCCCGCGCGGATCAGCTGCTCACCATTCTCGTGTTTTTGCCAAAGCGGGTTCCTCAGCGTGAACTGTTGCTGGCTATCCGCCATTTTAACCCATCGCTTATTAAATAATGGCTTAATCGACCTAATTAAGGCCACAGTTTGACAGACGTCCATTTAGCTTTTCCTTTGCGGCCCAGGTTGCTACCAGAACTGGACCATCGCCATGCATTCACGTGTTGTTATTCGCCCCGGCCGCTGCTCGTGATGATTACCTCGGCAACTACTGAATGTTAGCGCACATGTTATGGGAACGCACGCAAATTCGCATGATGAGGAAGATCTAGCAAGAACACAACCGCGTTTTTTCGCTAAATGGCCTGAGGACGATGAAGTCTGAATGCCAAGCACGTTGTATTTCATGCATATAAACCATTTTAAAAAGGGAGTTATGTGCCCCTGTGTCTCTTGAATACGCTACTAGGTGCTGAAGTTATATGATGCTCTAAATCTGTCTATAAAAAAATGTTTTTATGGGAGCGACGTTGACCGAGCAACATTCTTGAACTTGTTAGCATTGAACCAGTGCAGCAGTTACACGTTTAGGATTTTAAGGGTTTTGTCATGTCATTTCATGTCACCATAATCTTTAAGCTTAATGTGACACAAGGACGGTGAAATCGTCAATTTGTCAAGGCCGGAACGCAATCTCAGCCAACAGTTTCGGTAACGAGGATCACGGATGTGTTCTATGAGAGCAAACTTCTAAGACCAATGGTGACCTAAGCATCAGGAAATTCGGTCGCAAAACGACTGACAACGTGGCAGATCAGTCCTTATTTCCCAGACTCGGATGAGAATGCGTTGACCGGTTATCATTTGTTATAAATCTAGGTGCCCAATTTTGCTCTATTGAAGGAATGCTGATCGTGTCGCATTTTAATCACATTTTTGTACTTTACTTGACACTGTTCAGGGAGCACCGGCCGATCAAGCTTAGAGAACCTTAAACAACATGAACTAACATCAACTAACAATGCGTCAATAAATAATTCATATTGTCTTGTGCTTGCAGTGGTATAAACTCTATGCTGTCATGTGATCTCACAGGTCTCAACTGTCATAAGAGATAGATGAAAAACATCTTTGTGATTAGTTCTAACTTTCTTCAGCTTTCGATGACCAGAGAATCACAGGAGTTTTCCGACACATTGGCGACGTGAAGGCTGCTTAAGTCATCACAATAAGTAGCAACAATAGCCGATAAATGCGTTAGCATAAAATGAATTGTTATGTTGTCAAAAGTAGTTGTACGTTAAAATCGGTATGGATAGCAAAATATCATCCTGTGTTTCCTTTTGCCGCTGTGAACCAAAGCATGCCTTTTCTGAACAGAAATTCCGTATTTACACCGCCCTGGTGCCACGCTTGGTCATGCGAGGTCAAGCAAGGACATACGGACTGTCTCAAAAGTGTGGAAACAATATTAATTCCTTGTTTTTAGAAATATTGTGACCCTAAACCACACGGGACAATTTTTTGTGACCAGGACCATACCTGACAATACAGTCAACATTAACAGCCTTGTTACACCACGATGTCCAGCGCCTCCAGCCCGCGTTCATACGTGACGTGATCGATGTGTCGGCTGTGACGTGCGAGGCATGCATTGATCCTGAGGACGAGACGTTACGCCACTCTCTCGCAAGTGGTCGCTGAACCGAGCCCCAATAACCTCGCTATAGCGGCCTTGAGCTGCTGGTGGCTTTGGAGCTGGCCTTTGTGAACGTTGTGCTATTGGCAGCCCCATAGGTGGAAGTCTAAGCACCTGAGGTCGGTAAATGATGTGCCCAGATATGTCCCGTCTTCAGCGACATCACTACTGGCTCTTGGAGCGCCTCGGGGATATTTGTCCTCCGTAGACTTATTTCACCATTGCCTTTTCAAGCCAACGCAACGGTTTAGGAAAGTGTTGATGAACGTGCGGAGAGTGTCGCGATAATTTCCTGTGTTACTGTCGCTGCCTGCCCATTGTTACTCTGAAATCAGAAGAGAATAAAAAGCAAATATCTGAGGTGTTGGAAAGATAAGCCGATTCGCCTGGAGTTGAACTAGCTACGGTTTTCTGCCATGCTTGTCTTTGTGCGAGTTATAGATCACCATAGAAAACCACTGCATTAACGATGTGTGAAAAACGCCTTCCTCGAAATTACGCCGTGGAGTCTAACGGTCACAGGCCGCAACTTATCATCACTTCCCCGATCGCGCTGAAAACAAGACAGCTAGATAAGCATAACCATGCACATATTTTTACTGAGGGTTTTGTATTCCCAACGCAGCAGTCTCCGGTGGAATTATCATACGCGCTGCCCGTCTGGAAGGGCCTTGACCGTGTTATGATTAACCTCTCCACAATCGTTAGCGATCGCCTGCTGTGGATGTACCCCCTGTGCTCCTTAGCGTCCGCAGGTTGCGTGCCCTCTTACGGAAGTCTGGTATTCCAGTTGTACGCCAGCATGAACAAGCTCCTGTACAACAGCACCATATCGACGGTGAAGTGGAAGCCTTTCGAGGACGGCTTCCCGCTGCCGGCAGTGACCGTCTGCTCCGGCAGCAACATGACGACGTAGGTGTACCGCTGACAGCCGTCCACCGGCATTGTGCAAGTGATCAGTTTAGTACCGAGTTTGGAGAATCCAGGCTTTTCATCGCTAACCAACTTCACAGTACCGCACTTACTTTCAGTTTTTTTTTACGTTACAGCGCTTCTGACGAATTATATTATACACACTTCAGCAAGTACAATACATGTGTGGATAACACCACAACACGCGCATCTGTCTGATTTGTTTCAACGTCTTTGGTTTTACCCAACCTGTCGTCAAAACGTCTTCAGCAATGCCTTTCGAGCGGCGAAACCACTGGGACGCTGTCGTGAGCTAAGTTTAGCTCATTGCAGAGCCAGCTTGTCGTGAATGGCGGAATCCTCCTAACTAGGCATCGCACAAGCACCAGCGCTCGCTGTGCGGCGGGTCGGCTGGCTGGCGTCTCACTTTATCAGCTGAGGACGCGGTGCGCCGTTCAACCGACAGGAACCTGACCCTGGCTGACTTTGTGCGTGACTGTGAGGTCATCGGAACGCCCTGCACGGAGGCGCTCGGCGACTACCTGGAGGTCACCATGGTCACGCTCTCCGAGCGGCGCTGCTTCACGTTCAAGACCAGTGAGTTTCCCTCGCTTTGCACTGCCACTGATGGTCCACCAGCCCTCTCCACGGCCACGACTCGTTGAAAACACCTCTTTACTGTCGCTGGGCCGTATAACGCAGAAGTCCGCGTGGGTGCGAAATTAATTGCCATCATTTCATTTCGGTGAATTAAGAGTGATTTTATGCATCTCCCCTCGGAGCAAATGAATGCGTTTCACGTTCTTCTAGAATCGCGTGTTTTACCTTAATCAGCTGTAAATATCTAACCTCGTAGAGTATTTTGAGTTACAGACAAAACTGAACCATCGATAGAAATCTGCGTCACCAACAATGTGTCCTGATTTCGCCTAGACCGAAATGCACCTCTTAACGAGAAGAAAAATGGCATCCAAATGAAGGTCAAATTTCAGCCAAAAGATATAACAAAGGATAAAGTCGAGGTGTACCTGCATGGAAGGACCCAGGTAAGACAATTTTTACGAAGGCAGATCCTAATCCCAATCTTACGTGACGTAGACCACATCTGAGAGAACTAATTTGTTACGCAACACGCATGACCCTGTTCTGAACTCACACAAATACAGACCAAAATGTATACAACTGCTCCGGCGTTCTGTTCATAATACAATTGAGTTATAAAACCTATGAAAAGGCAACATGCGGAGTTCCTAGACCGTCTCAAGCGCACGGGAAAAATGTCACGGTTGGCGTGTAACCATACGCCTTAAAGATATTCAAAGGAAACGCCTTCAGTGTGGGAGCCAGCATACGTGCATCTTGAAGGACGGAGACGTTCGATGCCATCCTTCAGCGAAGGATGACAGAGATGCACCAATGATGTGAAAATGATGAAAAATGAGTAAACGTATGTCATAATGATGTAAATGTAAAAATCTCACAAAAATGGGGTCTGCGCCAGGCACAACTCGGAACTCCGTGGCTGGGAACAAAGAAAGTGCACTCGTAATCCAGTGATGCCAGCCGTGCGAACCCTAGAATAGACACATTGTTCGCTCCAGACTCCAAACTCCAGAGCGGTCAGCTGGCAAATGACAGGAAAGTATGAATCCGGCCCGTGACGACCTTATGCTTAAGTTGTTTCGAACGTAACTTATATTTTGCGCTGTGCAGTGGATGCTTGCGCACATGGTCGTAAGAACAGACTTCATCCTGTCAGCTTGGCTGTCCTCCAGTGCAAACATCTCCATTTGCATGCATGTCGCGGCGAAGCACCTTCCGTGCGCAGGTATGCTCACCCTCAGATGTTTGACAAATGCTGCAGCTCGAAATTGGGCCTCGAGTGTCTCAAAGCTGTCCGCCATTCTGAGCTAAACAGAGTCCATTGTCCATAAACACTGTAAATGCAAATGGTACCACCGCTGACAGTGGCAACACCGCAACGGCGGCACCCCGTGCCCCGCAAACTCCCACACTCAGTTTGCGGAATAATTATCCCTCCTGATTCTGCCATTCCTCGGCGAACAGGTGCTAAAGTGGCCAATATTCATACTAGTGGTACGAGCCCACTAGAAGTTCTCGTTATCAAAGTTTACTGAGCGATGAACGAGCGGTGAACAACGCAAATGGAGCGTTTCACCAGCTGACACCGTGCCGGAGCACTGCTGATGCCGGCCCGACCACCAATAACGCTTCAGAGACTTCAAAATGGTGTACGAGACTAGCAGCGCAAGTCCATCTCGGGACGCCGACTGGGGAACTAAGATGCGATTGGATAACCCCGCAAACTCGCAAATGCGATTGAATACTCTCGTTTAAATAGCCTGGCCCTCGAATATCAATGTGATTAAATGAACTCGCATGTAGCTATTGGTATACTTTTAAGACGAGAAGACCGCTCTAAACGACATAATTCCCCTGATTATTAACTATGTATACGTCAATACGTATTTCTCTCTTCTCAATACTCTTTGTTCTCAATATATCTCTCTCAATACTTCATTGTTTGATTACGTCATCGTATCTTGCACAACATTGATTGGGAGCCAATTGACGGGCGTCATACCTGGAAATCGTGCCCACGACCGCTAGATATGAACGGCCCGATGATGTTTTAGCTTGGATCGCCACATGGCTAATGGAATGACAGGATTTTAATGGCGGGATTATGGTGTCATGAATAACTGGGTGACCTTGAAATAGTCTCCCCGAAATAGTCTGCACATCTTGCGGGCGTGTAGCTCAGAAACTAGAGGGGCTTAGGTCTTAAGAAGGACTGGCTGCAAATTGCACGGAATAATCTTTAAGATGGCTGTTTCAGTCCAAACCCCCATACAAATGTGGAATATTCCCTGTAACTACATTACAGCCCCGTCGCTCCACACCACGACAGAACACGCGAGCCACCTCGTGTCATTCAACGCTGCTGCACGCCTGCTGCAAACAGCTAACATCATGGTATCAGTTCCATTTTCCTGTCTGAACAATGACTCGGCTGCCTAATTCAGGCACCCTCCGTCCATGAGGCCAGGGATCGAGGCCCGACTACCGCGTCACTTTTTCGGTAGGAAAGCAGCACCCTCAACGCCACACGCCATTTGGGCGTGTCGTCCTTGAACGCTTACAGATGACGAAGCCCTTGAACGCTCAAATTTTGAGAAGCTCAAGTAAATGACGATCCGTATTGTTTATATGCTTTTTGTTCTGCAAACGTCACTCACTTAATCTTGAAATAATTTCGGAAGTACTGTACAGTGTGATTTCACCTCCCCCTGACCCGATAAGCTCAACATACATCTGCACGAAGTCGGTGTGGGTGGCGGTGAGGATTGTGCGGTGGCCCATGCCTTTCAATATTACTTAGCGAGATCAGGTAGATTCAGGGATACATAAGGGACATCTTGTCACGTGAGGCTCTGCTGAGATGGCGCCGCGCGAAGTTGTCTTTGGGCCATGTACACGGCAGCGGCCGGACGGCAATCACGTTCAAACTGACCGCGCGGAGATACCCCTCCCCCCTTTCAAGCGAAGCGGCTTTTGCACTGACCTCTAACGGAGTCTTTGATATGCATTGCTTGTGATGGAAAACAAATTGCTGTTGTTGCGAGAAAATCATGGTCGCACTCCTGCGAGCAGGCCTACAACCCGTTCTACGTGCTGGGCCTGGACCGCAACATTGAGCTGCCGTTGGGGAAGACCATCAAGGTGGAGCTGATGGTGGAGATGTCCAGGTACCTGAATGGTCACGGCCAAGCCTGCCGCGAGGAGGCCGACTACTCGTTCGTGGACTGCGTGCGCTTCTGCCTCGAGCAGCACCTCATTGAGTCCGGCCCGCAGTGCAGGTAACGCACGACTGGCCGGCCAGCGACCCGTGTAACACAGCGCAGTCCAATCAGGGCTACAGGAGCGTTAACGTGGACAAAAGCGCTATTACCAGCACGTAAAGAAGTTGAGGACGTGCAACCTTGGAAAACTTCTCTTGCATCTTGGCCCTAACGTAGCTTTAACAGAAGCCGAAGCGCCAGAGGATAAACTCTGGTGGAGTGGCGATGCTGAACAACTGTCGTGTCAATCCATGCGCGCTGGCTTTTCTCGCCACTCTCAAGCAGTCGATACTCTGGATTCCGCCTGTGATACTGGCCGGTACGCCTCTGGATTCCGCCGGTGATACTGGCCGGTACACCTCTGGATTCCGCCGGTGATACTGGCCGGTACGCCTCTGGATTCCGCCGGTAATACTGGTCGGTACGCCTCTGGATTCCGCCGGTGATACTGACCGGTGCGCCTCTGGATTCCGCCGATGATACCGGCCGGTACGCTTCTGGATGCGCCACTACGCCACTTATTTGTGGGGTAGCATGCTGAAAAGAATTAACTGTAACGTTACTCACTTTGGATGGCCGCCGTAAAGCATGTATCTACATCATTATTTTTGTATTATTCGACAGCTAACACGTCATCCCAGCGTGTTTCCGACCCCACGACTGTCGACCATGCGTGTTTTTTCACAATTGCAGACTAGAGTGGATGCTTCCAAGGGACTCGGCACCTCTTTGTACAGACGAGGAGGTAGCAAGAAATTTAAGCATGCTTGCTAGTGACAAGGTAGGAGGCTATGACAAACTTACTAACTACTCTATAACAAACTCATTTTGGGCTCTTGCACGGTCCACTTCTGAGCTGAAATGGTGATACTGGCATGAGCGACCCAAATACGCGCAATCAGAGGCTGTGACTGAGAATTTGCAATTCCAAACACGAATCACACCGTGTGGCGCGGCCGCCTGTGAGCACCGTCCGACCGGCATCCCACGGCTTCAGGAGAGCACCATCGCGCGTGAGTTCCCCGAGTGTGAGGCGCAGTGCGAGCCGGCCTGCCTGCTGTACAACTACCGCGGCGTCGAGTACTCCTCGCTGGTCAATCCGAAGCTGCAGAAGACGCACAGCGCCGAGTTTAAGTTCAAGTTCAGGGACACCTGCTACACGGCCATCGAGGAAGTGGTCAATTACGACTTCTGGAGGTGCGCAATGTCTAGATGTCTCGTCACACTGGGTAGATATTACTACTTCGCTGGTATCTGGTACCCTGTCACAGGCCAGTGTCTGCGAACAGCTGCACCACCAGTATTTTACAGCCAGCCGCCGATTATTCTCCAAAAGCGTGCGGTTCGCGTGCTGTGTCGCCGGTCTGCTGAGCGGTACAGGGCACAGTTCGCTGTGACCGCGCTGGCAGCAGCAGTCGGGCCCGACACCCCAACAGCCCGACACCAGCGTCACCAGACCGTACCTCCTGTCGCACGGTACCTGCTGGATGTTTTACGGTGGTGTCTGTGAGCAGTCTTTGCTGGGCTGGCCGTTCTACTGTGGTGTCTGTGACCGAGCAGCTTCGCACAGCTGGCCGTTCTACTGTGGTGTCTGTGGCCGAGCAGCTTCGTACAGCTGGCCGTTCTACTGTGGTGTCTGTGACCGAGCAGCTTTGCACATTGGCCGTTCTACTGTGGTGTCTGTGACCGAGCAACTTCGCACAGCTGGCCGTTCTACAGCCGCGTATGAAGTCGAGCGGCTTAGCAGTGTTGCTGTTATTGTCGGCAGCATGATCGGTGAGGTGGGCGGCACACTCGGCTTCCTGCTGGGGCTCTCGCTGCTCTCCATCCTGGACCTGATCGCGGACGGCGTGAGGACGCTCAACAACTGGAGGATCCGGCGCAAACGACGGCACGCCCGCCAACTGGTCCTCCGCGCCAAGTACTGACGGCCGCAGTACTCGTGACGTCACGGTCGCGTCACACGGGAACAGAGACGTCGCGTGCCGGCCGGATGATGAATTCATTCTCTGCTTGGCTACGGAAGGAACCATCTCAGCACCGGGCTGAGCGCATGTTTCTATTGCTCAAGCTATCTTACAGCGCTAAGTCAGTAATAGGACTTGGCGCGCTCACTTGTCCGCGCGTCACGTTACCGGCATTGGGCAAACGAAACAAAGGTGTTTTAGTTGGATTTGCAGTAAAAACACGGTAAATTTTCATGCTTCATTTTCGTCTTCTTTACTAATAATGTTTTATTTCCGCTCTGTGAAATCCAGAAAGCACAGGCTCGCCGGATGGCCACTCAGCTGTTGGCGTTTTGGTCCACGGCGCTACCGTCCAGCACTAAAGCGCAATATAGTCAAGTCGCAATAGTCGCAATGTTCCAGGTCTTCAAATTTATTGGGTTTATAAAACACGTTTGAGTCGTTATATCCCGCTCGTTGCACCACCCATAAACAAGCCATGTTTCGTTGGTTCAATCGCGTCTTACATTCAGATATTCACGCCAGACGCCCACCGATCGCTTGACACCCTCTGCAGACGCTCACCGATCGCTTGACACCCTCTGCAGACATCTCGGGGAAAGTCACTAGATTACTGCCTGAAAGATCGCCAGCAGGTCCTGCGCTGGCCAGCCAACACCGGTCAAGCACGGTGGCCACCGCGGGAGCGAAGCGTGCTATTCACAAAGGTGGCGCTACTATCGGGATCGGTTGCACAGGCGGCGACGCCTGCGTCAATGTGGTGAATATGTCATAGCTCAGTGTAAGTCCAGGACTGTTTCGCATTCATAAATTGTTCTGACGGGCGACGGAACAAACAGAATACCAAGCAACAAAGCCACAAGACAAGCAACGCATCCTACTCGTGAGGATTACTTTGACGCAAATGATCGACTCGTTTGACCTTATACGCCAACCAGGGCCAATAATAGTGCGCAGGTAGCACTAGGTTAGCTATAAATGTACTGCCAAGTCAACTTCAAAGAGGATTTGTACCGCCCATTTTTCACAATGATCCAGTCACGGTAGCACAGTTCCGTAAGCCAATGACTGATGACCGGCTCAATATAAATCGCCGTGCGTCACTTAACTCGGCACGGCACAAAATTCAAATGTCATGCAGCTGCCTTGACTCTCACCTGGCTTGACCCTGACCAGACCTTACTTGACCCTGACCCTAGTATACACGATGGTGTGTATCTAGCGAGGAGCCGTTCATTGGTGTGGTGCCAGCATGGAGTTATCATCTCACGTATCGAGTTCCGAGTTCGTCAACATATGTCCACGATTTTAAAGGTACCCCATGTGAATTGTGACGTCATCAGCCACCCGTCAGTTGCCAGCCTAATGTTCACCCGGGTGAGGTCCACTGGTGCTCTAAACCGATTAGTTTGAAGTGCTGCTGTGGAAGCTTTGGGATACCGGTCTATGTCGTTACCCAATATCAATGAGTGGTACAGTGCGTGCGAATGCGAACTGAAAAGAACAAGATATGTGCGGGTTTTGACATGAAATAAGTTGTGGGAGCACACTCGCCTCAGGCCTGTTATCAACGTTTGTGACATGTTCAAATCAAATAAATATAAACAACGACTTCCGCTTTTTCGGCCGTGGACTGCAGCACACCGCTGAAAAAGTACCATCACACATTGTTTTGACGGCGAATTTCTCGTGATATTCCGCTAGAGCCAACTTGTTAACATTTGCTGCACCTTTCAAGTGCTGTGCAACTCTACAAGCTTTCAACACGAACTGGACCTTGAAGGATAACTGAGAGATCAGGAGTTTTTGATGGATGCTCTTTCATGCGCTGGCGATTGCACTGATACTCATGGATCCGAAATCAGCCCGTAATTGGTTGGTGACCCGCGGTTCTCCGTCATTTGAGCCCGACGTTTCCTTGAAGGGCGACCTTGAGAGGTCAGGTCTTTTTGAGTGTTATGAACTGCTGACACTAGTTCATTTTCCAGCGATTGTTCTGATACCGAGAAATTCGAAATCAACTGGTGGTTTTTGGTGGTATGGAGTTCACCGTTTCTATTTGAACCCGCGTTTTCAGCGAAATCAGAGTTCGTCGATAGATAAATTACCAAGTAAGTCGTCAACTTCACGAACATCTTTTCTGCCACTGATGCGGTCTGACCAGGGCTTTCCAATTCCGTTTTTCCCGTGGCTCTAGCCCGCTCAGTTTGCAAGGGGGCTTTGAACTCCCCTCGTGGGGCGAAAGCGAAAGAGCTGTCGCTGGGCGAGAAGCGATGAGCGTAATATAACAATATGATATGCTGGGGTATGAAGCAGGGTATGAGGCTTCAGTTGGTGTTCGATAGCGCAATATCACAACTGAACTTGGACCTACGCATCCATTGGATCCGCCAAATGTGCAAGTGAAGAACGTTTTGACTTATGCCACAGCGTCGTGACATCCAGGCGTGCCCTGTTCGTCGATTTCACCCCGCGAGGTCCCGACGACACGGTCGCCCGCCCACTCCCGACAGTATGGGCGCGGTTGCGTTCAAGCATCGTTTGCCATCGGCACTGACCAACGGTCAAAACTCACTTTGCGCCAAATTTAACTTCAAGCGAGCCGTTGCTCCCTCTCTTAAACTCGTAGTACGGCTAGATCCCCAGAACAGAGCGCATCTAGAAAAGTGGCAGTCTTAAGACCCTTTATGCGCTCGAACGCCATTTGTGCCGAAAGTCCCAATTCTTGCGTAATATGAGAACCGGCCATCCCACCGAACCCCCCCCCCCCCCCCGCCCCCAGTCTTCCATAATGGCACGACATCAGCCCCGACTCATTGCATTGTGATTATTGTGGTCAGCCAAAGAGCCTGGGAAATTCGTGCTGCAGCAAACCACGATTCTGGTGCCTCAAAACTGCCCTGGTTTAGGCGTAACAACCCTTGGTCGTTCCGGACGGGTTTCCGTCGAGAAGCATCACTTACCTTTGAGCCGGTGACTAGAGGGTGATGTGTACATTTTGTTTCCTGCGATACCGGATTTTGTCAACGCAACCGATTCGGTAAACGGAACGGTTTGCTGCAGCGGAACAGAACGGGCACATGGACAAGTACATTACAAATCGCTTAGTTGATAGGTATGCGACAATCTAAGCTACATACAATATCAGGATGCGTTACAGCGCTGTGGTTGGTGTTTCAGCAGGTACAGGTAGATAGTTCATAAAGTATCATGGCAACAGACCACTCACTGCCGTACACACAGCTAATCTGTTGGATCTAAATAAAGCGAGTTGCTTCATTGGAAAAAGGTAGAGAAGATCACAAGTCCACGAGACAGCACCGAAGCCTAGCTTACACCAAATACTTGGATCTCTTGAACTGTATTCATGAACAAAAGAATCGGCGACTCTGAGGACGATGAGACAAAGCATAACACGACTATCCCAGCCGTCAGCGTCTGTAGTAACAGAGCCGTCGCTCGCGGCGGGGTCCGATACTTGCGAGTTTCATTTGTGTAAACTCTCGGTGAACGCGGTGTCGTCACAGAAATGAAACAAACTTGCTCTGCGACCAGACCACAGTGGGGACGCGCTACCATCCCCCCGCAGCGGCACCGTACTAGACCGTGATTGAACCAACTCACGAACTCGTCCAACACCAACGCCCGCTCCGGTTCGCGCGTCCGGCGCGACCGGCGACCGTCCGGCCGTACCCCGACATGACTTCAGCGGCGCGACCAGACGCGCCTCCGTCGGACGCCAGCGTGTCTGTCTCGAGACTGTCTGGAGATTGCGACAAACCGACGATATAAGCCGAGGAGAGCGGAGCATGCCACTGAGACCACACTGATACGGTGTCACGGAAGACCCGGCCTCCCGCGCTGTCGAGACGCAGCCCGAGCTGGCTCACGGACGGGCCGCCCTCCGTCAAGTGTCACACGCGGCTGCCTCAGCGTCCGGTGCCGGTGGCGCATCACCGGCCTCAGGGCGGGTCAGCAGACCGCCAGCCCGCGCCAACCGCATCGGACCGACGTCCTACAGGGGACCGTACTGAGGCGGCGGCGGCTGCTGCGGCGGCGGTGGAGGGGGCCGGCCGTAGGGCAGGGCGCTGCGCGCCTGGCCGCGGCCGCGGAACACGGGGCCGCCGGGGCCGGCCAGCGGCGGCGGCCCGCCCCGGCCGAGGCCGGGTCCGCCGCGGCCCAGCATCGGGCCGCCGCGGCCCGGCATGCCGCCGCGGCCCGGACCGCCGCGCGCCGGGAAGCGCGCGCCGCGGCCGCGGAAGCCCAGACCGAAGCCGCGGCTGCGCGGTACCGTGATGCCCGCCGCACGGTCCGCGTGCTTCTTCGAGTTCAGGTGCTGCAACGGACCAGCGTGCGTTAGCGGCCCGGCGGAGCGGACGGCAGGGGGCCGCTGCCGGCAGCGGCAGGTGGGCGGCGACACCAAAGGGCGGGTGCTGTGCGCTTTGCCAGTAACCTCACAGTAGCCGCGTGCGGCCCGCTGGTCGATGAGCCTTATTGGCGGAAGGGACGTTTACGTGCTAAGCTGCATCATTTGGTGGAGAACGAGCTATGCGGACGTTTCAAAGCGTCATGCCTGCACTTGGTCTTGGATCCAATACTTAAACTTGATAAATGACAGAGGCGAATATTGCAGCAAATACCGAGAGGGAAGTGATGCATTCAGGTTGAGCAGCAATTTTATTTGGTTTTCAACAACGTGGCCAACATCAGTTAATCGGCCAATACTCTTGGTAACAAGACGGACTATTCATGCTTTGTTGGTACCTGCAGGTTTTTCACTACACTGAGGGTAAAAAGAGAAGGGCAATAAACACTGGCTGCACTAAGATGTTTGGCTGGGTTAGGCAGTAGCTCATTTGGCCTGTGGACACTATTTGGAGGTTAAAGCATTCAGCACATCGGTAAGATGTGAGACACAACACGTAGCCCACCCGCCTTGACCCTAGCCGGAGGAGGCGGAGCGAGGGCGAGGATCTTTAAAGCCCACATGGCGTTCTTTCCTCTGGTGCAATACACGGTAGATATTTTTCGTCGAGGTTGTGTCGGTGTGAGTTTTGAGTTTGACGCCAAATGACCTGTGTTCGTTTAATAATACGCATTGCAAGGCGCTGCTAGGCACATATTTGCTGTCGTATCAAGCTACATGAGACCACAATTACGGAACACACAGTAGGAGGCCACGCCATCGATGACCACGCGGAATCATGAGTCCGTCAAGAGATTTCTGGAGAATAACGTGTGACCATGACCACCTGATGTACGCGATCGCAAGTCTCACCAATCAAAAGCAAGCTACCGGGATAAAGTGTAGAGCGTTCAATGTAACATGCGTGCAGCGCCACGGGCCAATGGAGTCAAAGCACACAGTTCCCGTGACAACAAAAACGTGCACTAGTTTGAGCTCTCTGTCGCTTTGGTCCACCGAAACATATGTGTACCGGTGTTCATCGTTTAAATGCGTCAAACCACTTTGCACGAGTTATACGAAGCTGCCATCGCTTTGGCTATGACGTGTTTAGTTCTTCCCGTGCCAGCAGTGAGTTGTAAGCACCCACGAACAGGGCGAGAGTGGGCCACAAACCCCAAACCTCTCCAGATAGGAAGCCGAGCCGGAACGCATCCGGGGCTTTACAGACGCTGGGACGAGGGTGGGAGAGGGGAGGCTCGGAGTCTTACTACGAAGGTGACTGCCGACAACCGGTACAAAGGACACGACAACCATTGAAAATGGACAATGAAATGGAAAAAATGGCATTCCCTCAGCACAGCATGAATGACGTCTGGACCGTTTAACGCCAGGGACCGCCACAGCTCCGCGGATAAGGTACGGTCTCCGTCTCCGTCTGCGTCTTCTCTCACCTGGTCACGCTGCACGAGCGAGTTGAGAGTGACGTGGCAGGTCTCGCACTGGTAAATGGTGGCCTTGCTCTCGGCCGGCTTCTGTGGTGCCGCCGGCGTAGCGGCGCCGGCGGCGGCCACCGGCGCGTCTGACGAACGCAGACGCAGGTATGCAGATCACAACCCCGTGACACGACCAGCGCGTCGGTCACCTGACGCCCACACTCCCTGCGCGCGGAACTACACCCAGCGGGCCAGAGGGAGAGGCACCACGTGCTCGCATCAAGGGGCATGGCTCGTCGGGCATGGAAGCAACGCCGCCGAAAGCAACCACACTCAATCGGGCATACGTGGACCCCGCGCCCACACAGGCGCGTGCCACGACGGAGCGTACCGGCCCCAGCGGACGGGCCAAGTCCCGGAAGGTCACAAGGTTATCGGAAGCGTGCCAGCAGTGCGGTCGCGAGCGGCGGTCTCGGCGGGCGGCCCGGGCCCTGAGCAGCCTGCATCTCCCCCGCCTCACCGTTGGCCGCCTTGTCGACGGCGTCAGCGGCGGCGATGGCGGTGGCCGGGTCGGCAGCCGCGGCAGCAGAGGGAGCGGCGGCGGCGGCGCCGGCGGCGGACCCGGCGACCGCCGCCGGCGCCGTGGCAGGTACGAACGAGGTGCGCGGGGCCAGCACTATCGCGGCCTTACTGTTGTTCGCCTGCTCTTTTAGCTTGTGCTTACTGCCTGGAACATGGGCCAACGAATTCTGACGCACGCTGGTGTGTGCAGCGTGCTGGGACCAGACATGAACTCAACCAAGACTCATGACTTCAAAACGTGACGGCGAAGTCGCTACGCAGAACAACAGCATTGGAAGACATTGTGTTAACACAGGATTCCATGCGTCGCAGGGGAAGCAGCTGGTCGACCATTCAGAGAGATGGCGGTCGACAGGAGTAACGACCAACTGGTGACGAAAAGGGGCAGACGAGCTAATGTGATTCTCAAAACTACTTTCAAACACCACCAGCACCAGCACAAATGAGCACAAGCAAATAAACTAGCGCGTTGTGAGCTCACATCAAATGAGGCAATTTATTGTTAAATACCAAGTTAAATACCATTGTATGGTTCATTTTTCATTATCAGGCGCCTTCGTTGCTTGAAATGTGCCGAATGTCATATGCGGAGGAAACTAATGTAAGTTGTCGATTGCATTTCCAAGGAACATTATGCACATTGATAAGACAGTAGTGATAGCCTTATTAGAGCAGTCATCTGCAGCCAAAAGTGTAGCAAAGGCAATTGTCAAGCTTTCGTTAATAGTAGTGCTGTTCGTGTGGCTGTGGCGGTGGCTGTGGCGGGGTCTATAATTAAGTCGCGATTTATCTGACTCTGAGCCACGGCTGCTGGAGTTCTGAACGCGTATGGGATTCTTTGTTCTCACGAGGCTATCATTGTGACACCCAAATCCTGAGACACGCACGCTAATTTTGAAGTGCTTGTGCCTAGGGAAACACTATTATCATGCTCAATCCGTATTTCAAAATAGAGCGGCAAACTTGAACTCATGCATGGTCTACCTCCTGCACAAACCTCCTCACAGAATACAGTACATATTCTAGCAACAGTTATGAGCTTGTGCGTTATCTATGTTGGATTTTACCCATGAACGTGACCTGCGTTACAGAAGGAAAAGTCAGAGCTACATGGGGAGTCGGTGTGCCTTGGTGGGTACATTAAAGCTTTGCATACGAGGGATGTTTTGATAGACAAAATGTCCTTCAATATCAGCAGCCTGCATTTGCGCCGCTGGCGTCGGTACTGTCCTGATGGCGAAACAATGTTACGTGTTTAATCGTCTGTTACACAAAAGGCATCGCTGAAAAAACGCAATACCTGTGGAGAGCAAGTTCTCCATCATAGTGTCAGATGTATCACGAGCTGCGGTCCTTCTAAAACGGCGTTCGGGTCAGCAGCACATTCGTGTAGAAAAGTGCGACGGTAGCGTTTTCAGGACATCACAATACTACCAATAGCAATCAAACACTCCAGAGTACGTACCATTGAGGTGCGTTGATAGCTGCTGCGATGAGTTCAGAATTATATCGCAAGCCGCACACCGAAACATGGAGTTTCCACTCGGCAACGTGGGAATTTCCCGTCCTTGCTCTTTGAGATCTGCAAGTATCTGCTTCGATTTCACCTGAAACAAAATCAAAATCAGCCAACGTAGGATATAGGTAAACTGTCCCTTACGCTATATAGGAAAAATCTCTCTCTCTCTCTCTCTCTCTCTCTCTCTCTCTCCTCTCTCTCTCTCTCCTCTCTCTCTCTCTCTCTCTCTCTCTCTCTCTCTCTCTCTCTCTCTCTCTCTCTCTCTCTCTCTCTCTCTCTCTCTCTCTCTCTCTCTCTTCTCTCTCTCTCTCTCTCTCTCTCTCTCCTCTCTCTCTCTCTCTCTCTCTCTCTCTCTCTCTCTCTCTCTCTCTCTCTCTCTCTCTCTCTCTCTCTCTCTCTCTCTCTCTCTCTCTCTCTCTCTCCTCTCTCTCTCTCTCTCTCTCTCTCTCTCTCTCTCTCTCTCTCTCTCTCTCTCTCTTCTCTCTCTCTCTCTCTCTCTCTCTCTCTCTCTCTCTCTCTCTCTCTCTCTCTCTCTCTCTCTCTCTCTCTCTCTCTCTCTCTCTCTCTCTCTCTCTCTCTCTCTCTCTCTCTCTCTCTCTCTCTCTCTCTCTCTCTCTCTCTCTCTCTCTCTCTCTCTCTCTCTCTCTCTCTCTCTCTCTCTCTCTCTCTCTCTCTCTCTCTCTCTCTCTCTCTCTCTCTCTCTCTCTCTCTCTCTCTCTCTCTCTCTCTCTCTCTCTCTCTCTCTCTCTCTCTCTCTCTCTCTCTCTCTCTCTCTCTCTCTCTCTCTCTCTCTCTCTCTCTCTCTCTCTCTCTCTCTCTCTCTCTCTCTCTCTCTCTCTCTCTCTCTCTCTCTCTCTCTCTCTCTCTCTCTCTCTCTCTCTCTCTCTCTCTCTCTCTCTCTCTCTCTCTCTCTCTCTCTCTCTCTCTCTCTCTCTCTCTCTCTCTCTCTCTCTCTCTCTCCTCTCTCTCTCTCTCTCTCTCTCTCCTCTCTCTCTCTCTCTCTCCTCTCTCTCTCTCTCTCTCTCTCTCTCTCTCTCTCTCTCTCTCTCTCTCTCTCTCTCTCTCCTCTCTCTCTCTCTCTCTCTCTCTCTCTCTCTCTCTCCTCTCTCTCTCTCTCTCTCTCTCTCTCTCTCTCTCTCTCTCTCTCTCTCTCTCTCTCTCTCTCTCTCTCTCTCTCTCTCTCTCTCTCTCTCTCTCTCTCTCTCTCTCTCTCTCTCTCTCTCTCTCTCCTCTCTCTCTCTCTCTCTCTCTCTCTCTCTCTCTCTCTCTCTCTCTCTCTCTCTCTCTCTCTCTCTCTCTCTCTCTCTCCTCTCTCTCTCTCTCTCTCCTCTCTCTCTCTCTCTCTCTCTCTCTCTCTCCTTCTCTCTCTCTCTCTCTCTCTCTCTCTCTCTCTCCTCTCTCTCTCTCTCTCTCTCTCTCCTCTCTCTCTCTCTCTCTCTCTCCCTCTCTCTCTCTCTCTCTCTCTCTCTCTCTCTCCTCTCTCTCTCTCTCTCTCTCTCTCTCTCTCTCTCTCTCTCTCTCTCTCTCTCTCTCTCCTCTCTCTCTCTCTCTCTCCTCTCTCTCTCTCTCTCTCTGCACTGTCAATGCCAATCACAGATGGACCAGATCTTAGTCAGGCTTGGTCACTCTGACATACTAATCAAAGATTGAACCACTGCAGATCAAAATTGCTAAAATCTCTATACATAGAATAAAAAAACACAGCAAGCAAGTGCTCCCTCATTATGAAATTGAATCAGAGATTGACCATGCAGATATAGGAGGCATCTGTTCTGTGACACCATGAGCAATGTAAGCAGTGTGTCTGCTATGAAATGGATGAGGTCCAGGGGGCTTACCATGCGTGCGTGTTTGGCGCCAGCCATGTGAGCATCCCGGGCTGCCTGGCCGCTGAAGTCCTTATTACAAACATCACAGCTCAGCTGCACCTGGTGGTCATGTATAGTAACCACATGAATGTTTCTAGCAGTGAATAAATGCTTAGACACTAAGCTACAGATAACAATGTATACTGAAATGGCAACACACACACACACACACACACACATATATATATATATATATATATATATATATATATATATATATATATATATATACTATTGGCAATATAATCACATAAATCAGACATGCAATGGAAAAGGAATTAAACATTTAGAATGCATCACAATATGTTTGCAGTTATGGGAAAACCATAACCCAGGACAATTCCACCTATCTTGTCATGACCCTGACATAGCACCTTGGGTTTCCTAAAGGGTGGTTGGCCCATCCTGCTGAGAGGTCCGCTTTGGGCAGCTGGGCCCACAGAAGGTGGAAGTTGCAGTGGTTGCCATTCCATCCTGCCTGAAATGCAGAAGAAGCATGTAAGAAGAAGCAAACACATAAATCAGACCTCCTATTCCTAACAGATTTGTGATAGCCCAATTAACATAAATATCTCCATAGACAGCATGGAACAACAACAGCATAGACAGTACTTACTCCTTACTTAAGCCCGCAGTGCATGCTACAACTCACTCACTTACAAACTCACTGAAACCAAAAAAGTACTGGTGAGTAAAATTGTTTTGATGGAGAGCATCCAGCAGAAGGCAATGTTCCCATACTTCACTGATATGAAGCAAATAAACACTTGTTTTAAAGCCTGATTATTAAAATATTACTAAAAATTGGCCTTGTGAAGTTTGCTGAGCAACTGATCTCCCAAAACCTTGGCCTCTATGAGAATGCACATAAACCACACAAATTCCAAAATCAAGGCATATTTTCTTGAGTCAGCATTAGTTCAGTCAGTACCGGTGTGTGTGGTAATTTTAAGTCTGGATGACATCTGTCAAAGTGGTTATAAGATAAGGTATGATTGTCTGCCAGACCAGGAAATGAGTTGATGATTGAATGTCTCCCATGTAGGTAAAGGACATTTTTGTTCGAACAGCCCTTTTACCACACCATGCACCTAAGACGACCTACCTAACGGACATGCACCGGCCAATCCCGCTGCACCGCCCCGATCAATTTGGGGCAGCACCCCCGCCTGGTGCAGCTCGCCGGAAGCCGGTATCAATATCTCACAAAGGGGGACGAAAGAAACTGGGAACTCAGTTTCATCAACCAACCCCTTGTCACAACCCTTTAAGGCTCGTTAAGGCTAAGCTTAAGTTATGTGTTCGGCGCCCGCATCTGTCCAAGCGTAGCACTCAGTGCGTCAGCCCAACGTAGAGCCGCGGAGAGCCTGCGGAAAGCCTTGGCAGAAAATTGTCCGCGCTAGTTAAAGCGCAGTTTAGCCGGATTAGCAAATTTGGTAGCAAACACAGGGTTATTTTCGAGCTCTGGGTAAAACACGAGTTTTATTAGCTGGGTCCCTTAGACGTGTTTGTACCTTTTGACAATATCAATATATTTTTTTTACTTCAAAATTGAAAGAAGGTATTCTTGGCCCTTTTTAATCGATTTATTCATCATTTTTGGAGGCACTGTGCAGAAAGCATACAATTACAGAATGTGAGAGGGAAAACAAGTACAAAAATTTGTTCGTATTGTTTTGATTTGGTAGCAATACTGCAAAAATGGATGGAGGGGATGGTGGATGGGGACTTGGGTCTTCCGTTAACGAAGGGCTGGGTGTGTTAGGATCCATCATAGGAGATAGTGCATACTCCAGTGAAACGTTGCTTTTTCTTCTTCGAAATGATGTAAGTAGGGTGACTCGTACCTGCGCAGAGTGGAGCTGTAGTCAATGCGCAGGTATCGTCGCGGTCAATTAGATCCCCACAATTGATAACCACCTCTCACTTCATGCCAAACCTATGTGGCCATCAGTTCGCTGGGACTTAACCTAACCTCATTTTACCAAGCCTAATCTAACTTAATGTAACCTTGCTTTTTCTTGTGATTAATCCTGACAGGAGGCCCTGTCCCGAGCTAAGCTGACTTGACCAATCAATTATCTGCACCACCTTTTGATACTTCCATGTGCTGGGAATGCTGTTTTGAGGAGCTGTGAGATATAGGCAGTTTTGCTTTGCAAGGAGTGTGTATGTTTGTATTATCAGCTAGGCTTTAAAAAAATTGCACACTGCCAAATTTGGGGTTTGTCAATCTAACAAGGTGTGTCCACTGGGCTTTTTTTTACTTGGGTACCTGTATTGCCGACGGTGGGGAGAGCTACGCTGGCTGCAGGGTTCCTGTACTGCCATGATGGAGAAATGCTGTTAGGTGTCAGCCGACGTAGTGACGTCACTGAAAATGGGTTTGCATCGATCTGGGTTCTTTTGGGCCGACTGAAGGCTACAAGGCTTTTGCTAGCGATTATGATGTCACCTGGTATTCGACTGGATATGTGACGTCACTGTTGTGAGGCTTTAGGGCTCTTCTGGGTGCAATGAATGCCGGTAAAGCATCACCTGACGATATGTCGTCGCTGGTATTCAATTGAAACATCAGGCGCAACGGGCCTTATTCCATCTTACCTTTCGTACCTGTCTTCTGCAAGCATTTGCGTGCCGAATAAAAGCTTGACCGAATCACCTGAATGTGTGACGTCACCAATCACCACTTGATACGAGTGCACTTAGGCCCCACGGCCCGCGGTTTGTATCATGTTCCGTGAAATATCACTGGGTATCGTGACGTCAGTGATATTCGACTAAATATTGGTCGCAACAGGTCAAGGTTCATTTTTAGCTTCGTACCTGTCTACTGCAAGCACTGGCCGTGATGAATAAAAGCTACCAAATCACGTGAGTGTGTGACGTCACTGGTCATGCATTTTTATGGATCTTTGGGGGCCAACTGAGGGCCGTAAAGCATAGCCTATGGTGTGTGACGTCACTGGCATTCGACTGCGTGTGATGTCACTTGTGATCAGATTTTACGGCCTCTTTTGGGCCGACGAAAGGTCATACTACATTAACTGAAGATGTGCCGTCACTGGTATCCGAATACAATTCAGGCGGCCGTGGCCATGCTCCATCTTTACCTTTGGTACCTGTCCCATTGCAAGTATCTGAATGCTGAAGGAAGGGTCTGCCGAATTACCTGAGTGTTGTAACGTCACTAACCATCAATTTGTATAGACTGTTTTGAACCCACTGTAAGCCATACCACATCAGCTGACCATATGACGTCACCGGTTTTCGTCTAGGTGTCATGCGCAACAGGCCATGCTCTATCTTGCCTTTCGTACCTGTTTACTGCAAGCACTCGCGTGCTATATCAAGGTGATGCTGAACCATCTGAGTGCGTGACGTCACTGGTCATGAGTTTATACAGGTTCACTTGGGCAGCCCAATGCAACAAAGCATCATATCCTGTAAAGCATCACGGGATGATATGACGTCACTGGTATTCGACTCAACATCAGGCGCGACAGGCCATGTTCCATCTTTACCTTTCGTACTGTCTACTGCAAGCATTCGCGTGTTATATCACGTCATTGGTTAAGAGTTCTTACGGGCTCTTTTCAACCCCCTATATGGTATAATGCTTCAGTTGACGATATGATGTCACTGGTGTTTCGACTTAGCATCAGGCACAACATGTCATGTTCCATCTTTGCCGTTCGCACCTGTTAAAGTATTGGCGAGCCTAATGATGGCTCTGCCGAATCACCTGAGTGCGTCATCATGAGTTTTTACAGGCTATTGTTGACCGGGAAAGCCATTAGGCATCATCTAACGATATGTCGTCACTGGTAATCCACTAAGTGTGTGATGCCATTGGTCATGAGTTTTCCCGCGCCTTTTTGGGCCGACTAAGGCCATTAGGCATCAGGTAACGATATGACGTCACTGGTATTCAATTAAGCATCAGATACAATATGTCATGTTTCATCTTTACCTTCCGCACCTATCTACTGCAAGTATTCGCGCGCCACATAAAGGCTCTGCCCAATCACCTGAGCGTGTGGTGTGACTGGTTATGAGTTTACGCGGGTTTACTCGGGCTGACTGAAGGACATCAAGCATCATCTGGCGATGTGACGTCACTGGTATTCAACTTAACACCAGGCGCGACAGGCCATGTTCGTCTTTACCTTTCGTACCTGTCTATTGTAAGCATTGACATGCTTAAGGAAAGCTCTGTGAAATCTCCTGAGTGTGTAATGTCACTGGTCATGAGTTCTTTACGGGCTGCTTTTTTGTAGCTATAGGGTACAAGACATCAGTTGACGATATGACATCACTGGTATTTGACTTAATCTCAGGCGCAACAGGTCATGTTCCATCTTTGCCTTTTGCACCTCTATACTGCAAGTGTTCGCGCGCTACATAAAGGCTCTGCCGAATCACCTGAGCATGTGGTGTAACTGGTCATGAGTTTACGCGGGCTTACTCGGGCTGACTGAAGGACATCAAGCATCACCTGACCATATGACGTCACTCATATTCGGGCTGTGGCCCAGACTTATGGCCGCTAGGCGGCGCCTTTGATTATTATTTAGCCATCAGGGCATTCCGGACCGTAGCTGCTCAGGGGCGCATCCTGTGATGTCGGGCTGAATAGCTTTGCATATACGTCGGTTTGTGGGCTGGGATCACCTTTGTTTTGTGTTTACGTTTGTTCAAAATTTTAGTCGTTAAAACAGCCCGTTGCGTTTGAAGTTGTTACTTAATGGTGCGCACAATAAAATTAGTGTGCTTAACTATGGTGCATCTCCCACCTCTGCTGCGGAACTCCGTAGCCGTAGGTGGCCAAGTGACCTCCTACCAACTGATGATCAGTGACGTCACATACTCAGGTGATTCGGCGGAGCCTTCATATAGCACGCGAATATTTGCAGCAGCCAGGTACGAAAGGCAAATATGGAGCATGACCTGTTGCGCCTGATGTTTAGTCGAGCACCAGTAACGTCATGTCGTCAGCTGATGCATTATAACCTAAAATGGGTTCAAAGGAGCCCGTAAAAAACTCGTGACCAGTGACGGTCACACACTCAGGAGATTCGACGGAGCCTTCATTCAGCACGTCAATACCTTTAATAAACAAGTACGAAAGGTAAAGAAAGTACGTGGCATGTTGGACCTGATGTTAAGTCGAATAACAGTGACGACATATCATCCTGTGATGCTTCACGGGAGGTGTTGCTTTGTGGCCTTGGGCGGCCCCAAGTGAATCCGTATGAACTCATGACCAGCGACGTCACCCACTCAGATGATTCGTCTGGAGTTTAGTCGATTACCAGTGACGTCATATCGTCAGCTGATGCTTGATGTCCGTCAGTCAGCCCGAGTAAACCTGCACAAACTCATGGCCAGTTACACCACGCGCTCAGGCGAATCGACAGAGCCTTTTTGTAGCGCACGAATACTTGCAGTAGGCAGGTGCGAAAGGTAAAGATGAAACATGGCTTATTGCAACTGATGTTAATTCGAATACAAGTGACGCCATAACGTTATCTGATGCCTAATGACCTGAACTCGGCCAAAAAAGGCCCGTAAAATCTCATGACCAGTGACGTCACACACTCAGTGGATTACCAGTGACGTCATTTCGCTAGCTGATGCCTTATGGCTTTCGCTCAGCCAAAAATAGTTGGTAAAAATTCATGACCAGTGACGTCGCACACTCAGGTGACTCGGCAGAGCCATCATTTAACGCACCAATACTTTACAGGTACGAAAGGCAAAGATGGAACATGACCTGTTACGCCTCATGTTAAGTCGAACACCATTGACATCATGTCGTCAACTGATGCATTTTTCCCTATAGAGGGTTCCAAGGAGCCAGAAAAAAACTCATGACCAGTAACGTTACACACCCAGGAGACTCGACAGAGCCTTCATTCAGCACGTCAATACTTGTAATAGACGGGGTACGAAAGGTAAAGATAGAACATGGCCTGTCGCGCCTGATGTTAAGTCGGACACCAGTGACGTCATATCATCAGCTGATGCATTATACCGTTTGGGGGTGCAAAAGGTCCCGTAAAAAGCCCTTGACCAGTGACGTTACTTACTCAGGAGACTCGACAGAGCCTTCATTCAGCACGCCCATACTTCCAAGAGACAGGTACGAAAGGTAAAGATGGAACATGGCCTGTCGCGCCTGAAGTTTAGTCGAATACCAGTGACGTCATATCGTCAGCTGATGCTTGATGTCCTTCAATCAGCCAGAGTAAACCCGCGTTAACTCCTAACTAGTTACACCACACGCTCAGGTAATTCGGCAGAGCCCCTGTGTCGCGCGAATACTTGCAGTAGATAGGTGCGAAAGGTACAGACGAAACATGGCTTAGATGTAGCATGGCCGTTTGCGCATGATGTCTAGTCGAAACCCAGTGACATCATATCGTCAGCTGATGCCTTGTGGCCTACAGTAGGCTCAAAAGGGTGTGCAAATTAATGGTCAGTGACGTACACACTCAGGTAATTTGGCAGAGCCTTCCACGGCAATGCTTGCAATGGACAGGTACCAAAGATAAAGGTGGAACATGGTCTGTCGCGCCCGAAGTTCATTCGAATACCAGTGACGTCACATCTTCAGTCATTGCCGTATGACCTTTCGTCGGCCCAAAAGAGGCCGTAAAACCTCATGACCAGCGACACGCACAGTCGAGTGCCAGCGACGTCACATCTTTAGCTGATGCTTTATGGTCTTCAGTTGGCCCGCACAAAAAATCCGCCAATACTTGCGGCAGACATGCACGAAAGGTGTAAATGGAGCATGACCTGTTGCCTGATGTTCAGCCAAATACCAGTGACGTCATATCGCCAGCTGATACCTAACGGCATTTCGTCAGTCCTATAGGGCCCGTGGAAACCCACGGCCATTGACGTCTTACAGTCGTATAGCAGTGACGTCGTTAGCTGACACCTTATGGTCTTCAGTTGGCCGAAAAGCACCGTTGGAACTCATGGCCAGTGATGTCACACACTCAGGTGGTTCGGCAGCTTTCATCCAGCGCGCCAATGCTTGCAGTAGACAAGTACAAAGGTAAAAATGAAGCACGGCCTCTTGCGCCCAGTTTTTATTCGAATACCAGTGACGTCACGCTATCCGGTGATACTTCGCGGACCACGACACACCGTGGTCGTGAGGCCTAAGTGCACTCGTATGAAGTGATGATTAGGGACGTCACACATTGGGGTAATTCGGTCAAACCTTTATGCGGCACGCAAATGCTTGCAGCAGACAGGTACGAAAAGTAAAGATGGAACGAGGCCGGCCGCGCCTGATGTTCAATCTAATACCAGTGACGACACATGGCCAGCTGACGCATTACGGCATTCAGTGGACCCAAAAGAGCCTTACACACTCACGACCAGTGACGTCACATACCCAGCCGAATACCAGTGACGTCATATCACAAGCAAAAGCCTTATGGCCTTCAGTCGGCCCGAAAGAACCCCGATCCCGATCGATGCAAAACCATTTTCAGTGACGTCACAATGTTAGCTGATGCCTCACAGCTTTTGCCCCCGCACGACAATACTCGAAACCCTGCAGGTAGCGTAGCTCTTCCCTCCGTCGGCCACACAGGTACCCAAGTAAAAAATTACCGTCCACTGCATTGGGTGCTTACATTTTTGTGTTCAAACTCACTCATACACATACACCAAACTAAGATAGGGTTAAGTCACACTAATGTTATCAAATTTTCCTTAGGCTAAAAAAGTCTTTAAATTTTAAAATTGCATTTGTATCCTTATAATTCTGTGTGGTGTGTGGCTTATACACTCTCCAAAAATCTTGGGGATGGCCCTATGCATTACACTTATGTGTACTAACAGTCGTGAAGGGCAGAATATGCACACGCAACAATGGTTATGTGCAAAAAGTGATCTAATGCCACCCTCGTCTCTGTCATTATGGGTGCAAAATAGGTGTGGGTGGTACTTTCCTACCTAATGTTAGAAAAAATCATTGCACGCCACTTGCTGTGTTTAAGGGGAACATATCATAAATAATCTCAAAACAGGTAGAATCATGCTCCTACCTTCAAATTTTAATAACTGCAATAGCAAGCTCCCGAGCACCGCACACAACACACCGCCTGGACTCCCCAGCACCGTTTCTGTGTTGTTGTTGCGTAATTACAATATTTCTGCTTACTGTGAGCCATAAAAAATGTATGGGACCAAGGTAACAATAATAATACAATGAAAATAGTTTATCACATTTAGGTGTGTTTATGAAATGCACAGGCCAGAATAGTCCAGAACATAGCCTAAACTAGCCTAACCTAACCTAACCTAACCTAACTGAGAATAGACCAGAACCTAAGCTAAGCTAAGCGAACATAACCTAACCTAACCTAACCCCTTGTTTCATGCCATATATAGGTACCATATAGAAGGCTTTTATTTAGCTGCCATGTTCTCATTTTGCCTTACATTCCCCACCCAATCCCTGTGCAACCCATGTCCCATTGGCGTTGAGGATCAGATTTCATGGATTCTTGTACCTTGTTCCCATACATTTTTATGGTTCTTGACGCTGCTGCAGTAATGTTGTGACCTGTGCCCAGCATGGCGCCAGGGTCGCGGGTGCTGTGTGTTTGCAGCATTCAGGATGTTCAGTATTGCAATTAGTTAAGTTCCAAGGTAAGGGTATAGATGACCTGTTTTATGATTAATTATATGTTCTGTCTTAAAAATAACACTTGATGTACAATGCTCTTTTGTAACATGAGGTAGGAATGTACACCCTGATCGCAAAATGACCACTGCAGTTGACGTGCCCGAAAACACCAATGAACAACAACAGCCACCCACGTCTTGAACCAAGGCCACTGTAACCAGATGGCCATGAGAGGATCGGACTGACTGGGAGGTGGCTCATGACAAAGGGTGGCTCGAGCCCTTGATCAATATGCTGTGTTCAGATGAGATGAGGGGTCTCAAAGATTATGTATTAGATTACACCAAACCAGTTTTATGATTTCATCACCATGCAAGAGATCACTTTATGATCTGCAGCCAAATTGTCACTTTTCCTGTAAAAAGTAGAATCTCATACAACCTCATAGTCATATGAAGGCCTGCTTTTTCAGCTTTGGCAGAAACATTCCAATAGAAATATGCCATATGCCATCTCACATTAAACAAATGCCAAATTCCATCATTGCATTGGTACAACCTAGAAAAATGTCCATCGCCTAAACTATATTTTTACCCACATGTTATGCATGCGACTAGGCTGATTATGATGTTTCCCCCTTTTGCAAATCTCCAATTGGCTGTGAGGTGATGCATCTTGGACATTGTGACACAACTTCTGAGGATGTTTCCGGTATTCTTAAAGCAGTCGGATGAGTGCAGGTAATGTCAGAGGCTGGGACATTGCCTGAAGTGTTCCCAAACATTGGCACCTAAGCACTTGAGGGTTATACTGTGTGTGTCTGGGGGAGTTCAGTGGAGGCTCATGAGATAATGGAATGAGCTGTCTGGTGCTTAAAGAAAAAAAAATGCAGGCCTACAAATGTCCAGCCCCCCCCCCCCCCCCCCCATCTCGCTGCACCACTGACTACTACAAGCAGTGGGTTAACAGCCTGCTATTTTCAGCATATGACAAGAATATTAAGTGATGCAAAAAGGCTGAATTGATGTGAGCGCTGCCTGCTTCTCACTTCTCGCCACAGAAATTGATCGAGCTTGAAATAACACTGTATCGATTAACAATGCTTTTGTCCTGACATACCTTGCAAAGGCACCAGCTGACAACCAAAGGGGACAATGCTGCATGCATGCAGGGGGCACCAGCATAGATGGATGTTGTAGCAAAGTAAAGCCAGCTCATGCTGTGGTGTGGCCATGCGGGCACCACCAGCGGCATTCTTGACATCACTGGAAATCATTTTGGAATCATGGCTGCCTTTCTGCCAGCCGCCAGGATTTTTGGAGAGTGTGACATAACCTTAATTGTGGCCAGCCTATATTTTGGAGGGTTTATAAGCATGGTGCGCCACCACCCTCCACCTTGGAGGCTGTATGAGCCTGATACATCACTGCCTGCCATTTTTGGAAGGTGTATACATGCAGCCTTCCTGGAAATGCTATCTCTCAATGTGCCAAAATTGGTGGTGTATGTTTGCCAAACTCTTGTGTGCTTGAGTGCTTGAGTGCTTGAGTGCTTCTTGAGTGCTTGGATTTACAACATGCAGCTGAACTTTGTGTAAAGCAATAACCATGAATGGTATAACTGGGCTTAAGGTGTACCAGGTCCAAATAACAAAATGAATTGATGTTACATGGAACATATCTGCTGTAGCAGTGGCATTGAGGCAACCATTTCGGCAGTTGTGCGTCAAGAAGATCTGAAGTGTAAAATTTCAAATTCCATGCCTTGATATTATAAGTTGCATGCCCTGATGCCATTGCCATGAACCAAAGCTGCTAAATACATATTGAGAGGGCTGTAGCTTGACAAAGATTTAGCTAGAAAGAAATTGTTTTGAAAGGGAGAGTGCTGCACCTTTACAAAGATTTAGAAAGGGATTGTTTTGAAAGGCCTATATTTTTAGAACAAAAGGCCTAACCTAGAAGGACTGAGGCTGTCTCACATGTTGTTTTTTTCATTACAGGTGTTGTTTGCGCTCGTCGCCCTTTTCCTGCTGCTATTCAGCATTGTATTCTACTGTGTCAGGAGTGGATCCCCGAGTGAAATTAAAAAGAATCTCCAAACAAAAGGTAAGCTGTTCATTTTCCCTTTACCTACCTTCCAATGCATAATCACTAAGCTATAGCACTGGATGTGTGCATTGTTAGGTCACTAGTATGTGCTGGGCAATGTTTGTGGCATTTGTGTCATAATACACTATGTGGGACATCTGATTATGTGGCTGTTGTGGCTGTTATGACAGTCGTGGCAGGACCTGATTCTGTATGATTTACCTTTGCAGTGGAAGACATGAAGGACTTTGTTGGCGTTGGAACCCGCCCGCGATTTAGGAAGCGAGACAAAATAGTGTTTTACGGACGGAAGATGCTGAGAAAGGTACTGTTCTTTTGACGTTTGTGTGTGTTGAATGTTATAACTAGACTTGATTGTGTTTACACCTTCCATTGATACCACAGCTGGTCTCGGTGTTTTAGGCTGTGCTTTTTCATGCCTACTCTGGGCCGAGGGAACCTCTCACCAAAGCTGTCTCTCTCTTCTCAGCAAAGCTGTCACTTTGCTCCTCTCATCAGGAGCAAAGCTGCATGCTGTAAAACACTATTATCGTCATCGTTTGTATTGCCCGCATAGTCCGTACCATATTTTCACGAGCATGTTGCCATAGATAAAGCTGGCTGGATTGTTCTCGCCGCGCCGACACTGGTCCGTTATCGCAGGTGAAATCGGTCGGCCAGTACGTCAAGTCGGGCAGCAAGCACGGGAAGAAGCGGCAGCTGGTGATGAAGTTCGCCAGGAACCTGTTGCAGATGCGCCGGGACGAGCAGACCCAGCTGGCGGTGGGTACCGGCGAGCTGGGCGGAGGGCGTGGGATCAGCCTGCCACAGTCCGACCGTCTGCAGGGTGGGCCTCGGTGATGGCGAGCGGTCTCCTTCGCGTCCCGTAGCCGTGCGCTCAATACTATTTGTCAGGGCGGATGGGCTGTTCGATATTACCCGGGCTATTGTTGCCGGGCGTGGCGTTTTCGGGATTGTGCGCTCTACCCTGTCGCTGGGACTTGCCCTCGTATCCGGGGGGGGGGGGGGGGGGCATCGGGGTTGTTCCTGGCCCTGGTCTTGTACATTTAGGTGGGAGGATAGGGGTGGAAGAGCTACTCTACGCGCAAGTCATGGCCCTATGTCGCGTTTCCAAACGGTTTCAAAATCACTCCGTACTTTTCCCGAACCATGTTCTGAGTCCTGATCGAATCAGATGTCGTGACTGCAATGTATCAGAGCCCTTGTCTGACCATAGTGGTTTCGGGGAGGCTCATTTAACTATTTTAGAGCAGCCAGGGCGGCCTTCATTGTTTATTTCATAGTTGTGAGTCCAATATTCGAAATGATATCTACTGTTTCAAAAATCGTTTAAATATTATCTACGGCAGGCCAAGAGGCTTGTCCCTGCAGGATGTGAAAGTCTCAAGAAGCTGCAGAAATGTCGCCCCATTCCATTTGTAGTCACGACTACCGAAACTCGTCGGCGTTGTTGCGTGTTCCCTGTCTGTTGGCGTGTGCACCGGCTGGCCATCGGGGGCCGCCCGGCCGGGCGTCCGCCGCGCCGGGGCTCGGGACGGCACGGCACCTGATGGGCGCTGTGCCGTCGCCAGGTGCTGGAGCCGCCCAGCGAGTACCTGCAGGAGGACCTGCGGGACGACAGCGACGCCTCGCTGCCGCGCGAGGTCATGTACATGCTGCGCAGTGTCAGGTCAGGCATCGGTGGCTGGCCGGGCGGACCCACTGCTGCAGGGTGGCGGCTCTGCCGTCCCACAGACGGGCAGCTGGTGTTTTGCACAATTGTGTGTGTTGTGCCCAGGAGTGTGTTGTAGGACAAGTGATGTTAGAAGAGCTCCACAAACCTCTGTTTTTGTTTTTTTAACGAAAGCCAAAATGAGACCATCGCTGAACAGGATTTATGGGGTGCCTGGTAACATGAATATTCAAATAGAACTCGTTTGACGATGAATGAAGTATCCCACACGATGATTGTCCCGTTTTTTTCTTCAGTATCTTCAGTGTATGTAAGCTGCGTTAATTGTGACATTCTGTGCTGTTTAAGGGTGTTCGGGCATTTTGAGAAGCCAGTCTTTCTGGAGCTGTGCAAGCAATGTGAAACCATCAAGCTTAGGGCTGGACAGTTTCTCTTCAAAATAGGTAAGTATTTCTCGTGCTAATCTCAAGAATCCTGACACTTGGGATTCCCATACAGGGCAACCCAACGCACAAGTATACCGAAAATTTCATCACAAAAAGTTTTTTTTGTTGGTGGTGTGAAGTCATACCTTCGTCGAGCTGGGTGGTTGTGAAGACCACTGGCTCACTGACGCCGCCATCAATGGTCGTGGGGGCTGTGATACAGCCATTTCATCCCAGCCTGATGGTCACATGACGCCGAGGGACTTTGTCGTTGAACAGGATGTCATGGATGTGGAGGGAAAGGAGTGTTTTGGCTCAGAACCGAGTCCATGTGCTGGTGGACGTCTCCCACTGCGTCAGTCAGTCGCTTAAAAACGAAGCCGACGTGCTGTTGAGTGCCCACCGTGGTGGTTCTAACGGCTTACCTGATGTCAGACGGCTTGTGGCCGGCCACTCCCGGCCCGGCGCCTCACACGACCGCACCGTCCTCCCGACCCACGCCTGCCGCCCTCACACCGCGCGCCTCCCCGCCGCAGGCGACAACGACGAGAACGTGTTTGTAGTGCAGTCGGGTCTGCTGGACGTGTTCATCACCGAGCCGGACGGCAGCTCCAGCACGCTCAAATACGTGGGCGCCGGCGACTCGGTCACTTCGCTGCTCAGCTTCTGCGACGTGCTGACGGTGGGTGTGGTGCCATCGGTTCCCTAGGTTACGTGCTGACGGTGGGTGGGGTGTCGTCTGTTCCCCAGGTCACGTGCTGACGGTGGGTGGGGTGCCATCGGTTCCCTAGGGTTACGTGCTGACGGCGGGTGGGGTGTCGTCTGTTCCCCAGGTCACATGCTGACGGTGGGTGTGGTGCCATCGGTTCCCTAGGTTACGTGCTGACGGCAGGTGGGGTGTCGTCTGTTCCCCAGGTCACGTGCTGACGGTGGGTGTGGTGCCATCGGTTCCCTAGGTTACGTGCTGACGGTGGGTGGGGTGCCATCGGTTCCCTAGGTTACGTGCTGACGGTGGGTGGGGTGTCGTCTGTTCCCCAGGTCACATGCTTCCGGTGGGGTGGGGGGGGGATGCTGTCTCCTGCCCAGGCTCTTTCCAGGTCGTATGCTGACGGTGGATGGGGCGCCGTGTCCTTCCCAGGTCACGTGCTGACGGAGGGTGTGGTGCCATCTCTTCCCCAGGTCACGTGCTGACGGTGGATGGCGCGCCGTGTCTTCCCAGGTCACGTGCTGACGGAGGGTGTGGTGCCATCTCTTCCCCAGGTCACGTGCTGACAGTGGATGGCGCGCCGTGTCCTTCCCAGGTCACGTGCTGACGGAGGGTGTGGTGCCATCTCTTCCCCAGGTCACGTGCTGACAGTGGATGGCGCGCCGTCAGCTCTGAGGATGAGCTGCTTTCTGTGCTCACCACAAGGCTGATGACGTGACACGGCGAGTGAGCGGCGCGCTGAGGGAGTGTCACTTGACATACTAGGGACATCAGACCAGTTGACAGCCGTTGTTACTGCTGGGCCTTCTGTTTACTGTGCCGTCGCCCCGTGGTAGCGTGCGGTAGCGGCAGCGCGATGGTGACATCTGGGTATACTATCTGTTCCAGGGCCACCCGCAGCCGTACAAAACAGTCTCGGCCAAGGCGGAGGTGGACACCATTGTCATCAAGCTGCCGTTCATGGCCTTCCTGGTACGAACTACCTCCTGCGTCTCTTTTGTGATGTCATGCGCGGAACTGCGAAACGTCGCCTGACACTCGCTCGTAACGTTGTGCGCTGCATGTGCTTGTCTCAGAAGTTGGCCTCGTCCTGTCAAAATGGTTATGCTAGTGTGTTCTTGGTCATGCCGGTGTTTGGCATTTTCTTGCCGGTTTTCCAAACAAGTTTGCATTGGAGTGTAGTGAAGTTGGCACATCTCAGCACACAACACAGCACACTGGGAGCAGAAGCCCCTCCCCCCCCCCCCTTCAGCATTGTGCTATTAGCACAGCCGACGCCGTCCGCCCGCAGAAGCTGACGGACAGCTACCCGGAGACGGTGGTGCGCATGGTGCAGATCATCATGATCCGCTTGATGCGCGTCACGTTCACGGCTCTGCACCACTACCTGGGCCTCAGCTCGGAGCTCATGACGCAGGTGAGGATCGCCGCCGCCCCACCGCCCCCCGCCCGCCCTCCGCCACCGACCGAGGAGGGCCGGCCGGGCGAGCCAACTGTAGCCGGCGCGACACACGTGCCGCAGCCAGCGGTCTTCCGGCGTGGTTTGTCGTTGGTGTCCACCGAAGCAGCTATGTAGTGTAGATTAGGTGCGCTCTGGCTAAAATGGCTTCTGACTGATCGTTATTGTCTTTCGTTGCGCGGCGCCAACAAGACGAGTCATTTTGTTCCATCCTTCCGTTGTGAAGCGGAGCATGGTCTGGGCAGGAGTCCTGCTGTTTTCCGGGAACAGAGATGTCCTGGCTGGCAGAGCTGGCGGGACAGCCCTGTAGCGCGCTGTCCCATCCCGCTCAGCTTACTCGTGCCGCCGTCCTCGGCAACAGTCGCGCCAGCGTGCCGAGACGGCCCACAAGGCGGCGCTGGCGTCGCCGCGGAAGCAGCGCCGGCCGCCGGCACCGGAGCACGTCACCAGCGGCGAGCCGGTTCCCGGCCGCGACCGCAGCCAGTCACAGAGCGAGCTGGCCACCGCCGGCGACGTCGACAGCGAGGAGGTCACCGTCGGCTCGGCGCCCTCCTCCTCCAGGGTAGGTCAGGTCACCGCCGGCTGACCCGAGGTCAGTGACGGCCGGGGGCTAGGGAGAGGTGACGGGTGGTTCGGCCAGGGACGGGTTCGCGGGGGGGGGGGGGGGGTACCGCCAGCTGAGCGTCCGTCTCGCACGGGGACGGGAACGGGCCGAGGCGGACTGGACAAGTAAGGGGCGTGGTGGAGACTGGCGCTGATGTGGGCTGGGACCAGGTCCGGCTCAGTTGGCCTGGTGGGAGGGCATTCATAGGTGCGGGTTTGTTGCGTGGTGTGCCAGCTGCCAGACGGAGCGCGTGTCACCATCAGACGAGCCACCGCGGCGGAGACGGCCGACTCTGCCTGACGCGTCGGCCGTCTCCGCTGAGCCCTCCTGGCTGCCTCCTGCCGTCAGCCGGAGCGGCGGCGCACGCTGGAGACGGCGGACTCCGCCTGACGCGTTGGCCGTCTCCGCTGAGCCCTCCTGGCTGCCCGTGCCGTCAGCCGGAACGGCGGCGCACGCTGGAGACGGCCGACTCTGCCTGACGCGTCGGCCATCTCCGCTGAGCCCTCCTGGCTGCCTCTGTGCCGTCAGCCGGAGCGGCGGCGCACGCTGGAGACGGCCGACTCTGCCTGACGCGTCGGCCGTCTCCGCTGAGCCCTCCTGGCTGCCTCTGTGCCGTCAGCCGGAGCGGCGGCGCACGCTGGAGACGGACGAGGCGGCGCTCTCGGCCGAGGCGCTCGAACGGTTCCGCAACATCCTGCAGCTGCCTGACCTGAGCCTGCTGGAGGGCCACGTGCTGCTGCGACAGCTGGCGCCCGGCCAGGTCATCATGACTGAGGGCTCTTACGAGGTCAGCCCCCATCCCCAGTTGCTGATGTAACTGGTGGCTTAAGACTGGTTGGGCAGGGGTGGGTAAAAACACTACTTTTTATGTTTTGGGATTTCCTTAATATCTGGTGCCTAATTCGTTTGCTTTTGAGCACGAAGTTGTCTAGAATACCTGTCATATGCATCGGTGCATTTAACGCGAATACATGTGACTTGTCCAAGGCATTGGTGTGTCCCTGATGGAAAGCTTACGTTTGCCGATTATTGTCGTGTCTGTATGAATGTTCCTTTCTCCGCTCGCCTGACGGTCGCCTACCCCACGTGACGCCGGCGGTGTATCTCGGCCGTGCTCAGGTGGGGGACGGCGGTCTGGTGCTGGTGCTGTCGGGCGCGCTACAGGTGTGTCAGCGGCGGCCCGACAAACCCTCCGAGGAGGTGCTCATGTACCTAGGCGCACGCGGGCCAGCTGGTCGGCGCGCTGGCCACGCTCTCCGGCGAGGCGAGCTTCTTCTCAGTCCGCGCCAAGTCATCGGCGCTCGTGGCGCAGCTCAGCCAGCAGACCTTCTACAACATCATGCTGGAGGTGCCGCACGTGGTGCTGCACGTGGCCAACACTGTCATCCGTCGGCTGTCGCCGTTCGTGCGGCAGATCGACTTCTCGCTCGACTGGACCTACATCGAGGCCGGCAAGGCCATCTACAGGTTAGTTGTGGTGGCACGGCACGCCGGTGCCGGAAAAAGCCTCCCGCGGCTTCATTGGCCGGAGTCATATGCCATTACATACGTTCAGTTCGCAGATTAAAACCTGTTACCGTGTATCGCCCGTGTCCGACAGTTTGTTGCGGAAATGCGCCATTTTCAATGTCAGCGATATGGCGCGTCGCCTGCTTTACAAACGTTTTAGTGTCATTGCGCAGCCATCATTCAGTCGTTGACACATGCTGCCAATATCCTCGCACTGCTCACACCATCGCTCGTGAAGAGCGGACGCGAGGCTGCGGCCAGTGCGAACCAGGGGTCAGTCTCCGGTGTGTGGCGCGAGCGAGGCGGTCGGCGCCGCTGGACGGCACGGGCCCAGCCTGCGGTGTGTGGCGCGTGCCAGGCGGTCGGCGCCGCCAGGCGGCATGGGCCCAGCCTGCGGTGTGTGGCGCGAGCCAGGCGGTCGGCGCCGCCGGACGGCACGGGCCCAGCCCGCGGTGTGTGGTGCGAGCCAGGCGGTCGGCTCCGCCGGGCGGCACGGGCCCAGTCCGCGGTGTGTGGCGCGAGCCGGGTGGCCGGCGCCGCCAGACGGCACGGGCCCAGCCTGCGGGGTACGTGGCGCGGACCGCACCGCTGAGCGCGGCGCCTCCCCTCCTCAGGCAGGGCGAGGCGAGCGACAGCACGTACATCATGCTGAGCGGTCGGCTCCGCTCCGTCATCACGCACCGCGACGGCCGGAAGGAGCTGCTCGGCGAGTACGCCCGCGGCGATCTGGTCGGCATCGTGAGTGACCCGCTGCCACCATCTGCTAGTCGGCGGCGCTAGCTGGTGGCGCCAGTCGACACATTCTGCTCGTCGGTTGCTCTGTGGTGTGCGGCCCGTGGGTGCAAGGGGCTGTGGAGATTGCGTGCATCTTCGGAAGCGATCTATATCCTGCTTTGGATTTCAACCGGACTGTTTTCTCGCTTCTTTTACCACACAAGCAGGGTATTCGTGTTCGGTTTGGCGCGTCGGGACACCATGTGCGGAGTACCTCTCCCGGACAAGCTATTTTGACGATTGACATGGGACGCCGTGCTGGTGGGAGAAAAGGCGGTCTGTTCTCGCCGGCTGGCTGTCTCCCGCCTCCACATGGAGCGGCGCTCCCTCCGCGGACGACTGCCTGCGGCCGGCAGGTGGAGACGCTGACGCAGACGGAGCGCAGCTCCACCGTCATGGCCATCCGCGACACCGAGGTGGCCAAGCTGTCGGACGGCCTGCTCAACTTCATCAAGCTCAAGTACCCGATCGTGGTGTCGCGCCTGATCGAGCTGCTCGGCCACCGCATCCTGGGCTCGTGGAAGCGCAGCGGCTCGCCGCTGGGCGGCGCCAGCGCCCTCAGCCAGGTGGTCGAGCAGCGGCCCAGCCAGACCAACTTCAACACGGTGGCGCTGCTGGCCGTGTCCGAGGACGTGCCGCTCGTGTCCTTCTCGTTCGAGCTGCTACACAGCCTGCTGGGCATCGGTGGGTATCGGCCGGCGGGCGTGCCCTGGCAGGCGCGCCCACCTGCGCCTCTGGGGCTGGAAGGCGAGTGCAAGGTCATTTGATGGACAGAGCTGCTGTGCGTCTAGCCCTTTGTTGGTACCACGTGAGAGTCCGCCTCGGTCTGCTGGCCTGCAGTTGCGCCCGCCCGTGAGGTGGCTCGTTGTATTCCGAATCCTGAGCTGTGTCACCCCCATGCTTACCCTGAAGACTATGAACCATTGTTTATGGAGGCGGTGTGTGGGCGTGCGTGTGTGTGCGTGTGTTGCGGCGGCGAGGGCCGGTTGGCAGCACGTAGCCAGCTGACGGTGGCCGCCAGGTCGCGCCACCCTGCTGACCTCGGAGCTGATCCGCAAGACGCTTGGTCCGGGCATCCTGGAGCCGAGCAACGACCACCGGCTGATCGCCTGGCTGGCCCAGCAGGAGGACCAGCACCAGGTGACGGCTCCTCAGCCCTCAGTCCTCAGCCTGTCAGCCAGCATTCTATCAGCCCTCATCCATCAATTGTCACCCTCAGCCCCCACCCCTTACCCCTCACCCTCGCACCCCTCAACCCTCATCCCTTTCAACCTTTCAATCCCTCAACCCCTCACCCCTCACTCCTCACCTCCTCACCCCCAACCTACTCAACCCCTACCCCTCGGGTCCTCAGCTCATCACTCAGCCTCAAACCAATCACCCCTCACACCCCCATCCCTCAGCCATCATCCATCAAGCCTCAACCCTCACCTACCACACACCCTCGGGCCTTACCCCTCACCCCTCACCCCCACGCGCCTAGTCCTCATCTCTCACAGCCCTCACCCCTCACCCCTCAGCCCTCACTCCTCACTGCCCATCCCTCATTCCTCACTCGTCACCCGTCACCCCGTGTGTGGACCAGCGCCAGCTAGCGGCCCTGGCGGATCGGCTTGGAGATGATGTTCAGTGAGTGTGCATACACACTCAGCAGTGCTGATCAGAGCTCTGAACCTGGCTGTCTTGAGAAGTTGCCCAGCAGTTTTGGTATTCGGGAGCTGTGAACACTGGCCTGGGGATGTGCCTGGCTCATTAGCTGGCGGTAAGTCACGATTTGGCACCCTTACTGGGCACGTCCGGGCGAACGTTTTGCCTCTGCTGGCGCTGTGACGCTTGCACAGCGCTCAGACCTGTGACGGAGGGCGGTCACGCGCCTCTGCAGGTGACGCTGTACCTGTGCGACGCCGAGCTGACGCCGTGGACGCAGCGCTGTATCCGGCAGGCGGACTGTATTTTGATCGTGGCCCTGGCCGAGCGGGGGCCCTCCGTCGGCAAGGTACGTTCCGGCCCACGCCGCGCGGTTGCAGGCTCACCAGCTCAGACGAGACACGTTGCTGAGGCATTGTGTTGCTGCCCCTCGGATTTCGTTCGGACTTCCTGCTTCGCTCGGAGGGCATCTTTTGCTATGCCCACTTTAGCGATGACCTCGGATTCGTGAAATGAGGCGAAGGTCATGTCTTCGGGTTCGGGTGTTGTATGGGACGTGACTGCCGTGGTATGCGTCACCTGTGACACCGGGGCCGCCGGCCGCCGCTGACGGCCGCTCCTGCCGCCGCCCGCCGCAGATCGAGAAGCAGCTGGAGACGCTAGCGGTGCGCACGCAGAAGGAGTTGATCTTGCTGCACCGTGAGGGGGCGCCGCTGCCGCGCCACACGGCCCGCTGGCTCAACATGCGCTCCTGGTGCTCCTCCCACCACCATATCCAGGCGCCCAAGCGGCTCTTCGCCAAGAAGAGCCTCACCAAGATCGTGAGTCGACTGCTGGGGGAGGGGCAGAGGGGGAGGGCAGACCGAAGCCGGTGAGGTAGCGGGCCTCGGCGTCGGCAGGACCCAGCTCTATAGAACAGATGAAGCGGCGCTGCCATCACGCCAGTTCGTGTTGCGTCCTGAACTCCACACGACTTGTACTCGGCACGATATGCCTTCCGGTCCCCCGCGTGCGCGACGAGCGCGTCACCCCAGACAGGGGTGGTGGACCGGCCCTGACGCCCCGCCCTGCCGCAGCGCGAGTCGTACCGCAAGATCCTGGAGACGGAGCCCAACCGGCACTCGGACGTCTCCCGGTTGGCGCGTCTGCTTACCGGCACCTCCGTCGGTCTGGTGCTGGGCGGCGGCGGCGCGCGCGGCGCTGCCCACGTCGGCATGATCAAGGCCATTCTGGTGAGGGCCGCCACGGAGCCTGACCTCAGCGAAGGGGAAGGGGAGGCCGTCCGCGGCGGCGCGCCCCGTGGGGCCGCCCGTCGAGCTCGACGCGGCTGGGACGGCCACAGTGTGCAGACGAGCGGGCAGTTCTGGGAGGTGCCATGGGTGTGATGGTTTGCCGCCTGACCCAGCCGCGCCGCGCTGGAGCTGCTCAATCAGGGCGGCTGATGCGGAGCTGCGCGGCACGGCCTGAAGTGCCAGCGGTGTGCGGCCGCCAGCCGTCGGGGCGCTCCGGCGCCGCCGCTGCCCGCCCACCCACCGCTGACGACGCTCCCCGCCCGCCTCGACCGCAGGAGGCCGGTATCCCGGTGGACATCGTGGGCGGCGTCAGCATCGGCGCCTTCATGGGCGCCCTCTACTGTCGGGAGAAGGACCTGGTGATCTGCACACAGAAGGCGCGCAGCTGGAGCATGGTGAGGCTGCTGAGTCCGGCCAGCGCGCCGCCCGGTCGTCGGCTGCTGGCTCACCGCGGCCGACGTGCCGGCCACCATCTCAGATGGCCATCACTGCTGCCTCGTCACGGCTGACGCGCCGGCTACCGTCTCAGATAGTCGCAACTGCTGGCCTGCTACGGCCGACGCGCCGGCTTCCATCTCAGATAGCCAGGACTATTGAGTCACTGCTGCTTGTAAGGAAAAAGAATAGGCCTCTGAACTTGTCGTGTCTCTTCTGTCAGTCTAATGTGTAGATCCTGACTTGCGCTATGGCCTGTTGAGCATATTGTGGCGTGGCATATGTTTTCGTCATAGTTGCAAAATTCGTTTATAGTTGGTAATCAGTTGATGAGCCCAATACTGCGCGTGCTTTGTGTGGCTTCCTCCTTCGCCCGTGGATGATGCGAAACCCACCTCTGTTCCACGTCAGCTGTGGTACGATGGGTCGGTGTGCGTTCAGGAGGCGTCGGCGGACGTGAGCTGGAGCCACGGCGAGGCTGGCCCCTGACCAGCACCGGCGGCCAGCCGTCGGCTCGTGCCGGCCGACGGGCCGCGTGTGACCCGGCGCTCCGCCCTTCCCGCCGGCAGAAAATGACCCAGCTGTGGCGCCAGGTGTGGGATCTGACCTACCCAGTCACCTCGTGGTTCTCGGGGCGCGCCTTCAACGCGCTGATCCAGGAGGCGCTGGGCGAGTGTCAGATCGAGGACCTCTGGCTGCCGTACTTCACGCTCACCACTGACATCACGGACAGCTCGATGCGGGTGCACACGCACGGTGAGGAAGCGCCCGCCTCTGCCCCGCCCCCGCCTGAGCGCAACCACGCCGAGCGAGAGCGGCCCACTGGTGCTCGCCGACGGACGTCCCCTACTCTAGCCTGAGCCAGTTCGGTCGGAATGAAGTCGATTGTCGAACGCTGCACAGAGCATTCCGCTGGTCATGTTTTCTTTCAGTTGGTCTTGTTGTGTATACGTGATTTGTGAAGATTGCCGGATGGCCAGTTTGTGGCGTTTTCTATTGTTGACCTCTAGATGTCGTGCTATCTCGTGTTGCCTTTAAGTTGGCTTGTTTTGACTTGACGTGACTGGCCGAGTCTGTCGGCTGTACTGTGTTCAGCCTGCCTGTATGATGCGCCTGTGAGGTGCTCGCCGGCTAGCGTCTCTAGCTCCGCTGTGCTGCTTCTGGTCCTGTCGGCTCGTGCCTCGAGCGCGTGCCTTCCCGCCGCTGGCCGACCGGCCCCTCCCGAGTGCGCCTGTCCGTCATGTCCTCCGCTTCAGTAGCGGCGCACGCCGCCGGCTCGGCGTGTCCGTCTCTCCCTCTCCTGGCCCGCGCTAACCGCTTGGCACCCCTGGGCGGGGCTGGCTAGTAGCGTGGCCGGCCCCGGCTGCTGCTTGCGAACGCGCCGGCTCGGTCCACGCGCCGGCTCCGGAAGCGCTGGCGCCTCCGGCTGCCGGGTCAACGCTATCCGTCCAGCCTGGGGTGACACTGGGGACTGAGGTCGCTCCGTGTAGATCGTCGCTGAGCCGCTTACACGCTGGACGCACGTGCCGTTTGCGTCCTCCCGTATGTGGGGCTAACAGGCAGCACTTTGTGGTGTGGCGGCCGCTTGTTTAGCCGTGCGCATTGGCCTGCTCGGAAATGGGCGATGAATGATTGGAACCACCACGTGGCTAGTGCACGACGCCTAATTTGGGACTCCGACAGCAGCTATTCTGCTTGACCAGTTGTTCACTGGGATCTACTGCTTATATTCAGCGCACCCCATATTGGACGTCGCTACGCGATGGAGCCGGTACTGTCAGCGATGGCTTCTATGAAGCGAGCACGTTGCGAGGTCCCCTTACACTCGAGCGTGCCGCCGGGCGGAGCTCAGACCGAGCCCCGTTCAGTGCCAGCCCTCACCGGGGCCAGCCAGCCAGCGACGGTCGCGCGGCCGCGCCACGTACAGTACAGGTGGCGGCTATGAGACCCCGAGGTGCAAGGCAGCGATGCGGCAGCGGTGCGGCCAGACTTACAGTTCGATTGCCAGCTTATAGCTCGACGGCCGCATTGTGGTGGAGTGGCTGTTAGAAGGCGTCCTTAAGTACAAGTCTGATAACGTCAGGTGTCAGTGGTTGATCCACCGGCCGAAAGCTTTGAAAGGAAAACATTTTTTACACTTTTTTGGCGATCGGTAATATGAGGCTCAAGGCTTAAACAATCCGTGTTTTAAAATGGCGGTTGGAGATACCCGTTACTTATGCGCGACCGCGCTGGGAGGTCTGTCCAGCCGAGTATCGGTAACAACGTCGTTGATAATGAAAGCACGTCGTTATAGAGCACGGTTATAGCTAGTTCCGTTGCATTGGTGAGACCAGGCCTTCATTTCGCACAACAGTGCCCATGCGTAAATCCTACACGCTGTTTTTTTTTTGCCAAGGAAGCTGTGCTTACCCTCGGCGAAAGTGTTCGCTGCCCGAAAAGTTGTCTAGAAAAGCTGTACATTTTCAGTATGGCAACGCCAGCAGAGGCGTTGGCTGTGTTAGGTGTGGCGAGGAGGAGACGAGTTGGCTGAGTGTGGTGTCTGTGCGGGGACGGCAGGCTCGCTATGGCGGTACGTGCGGGCCTCCATGTCGCTGTCTGGCTTCATGCCGCCGCTCTGCGATCCGAGGGACGGACACCTGCTGCTCGACGGCGGATACGTCAACAACCTGCCAGGTAACGGCCCGGCGGCGGGCGGGGAGCGCCCCGGAGGTAACGGCCCGGCGGCGGGCGGGGAGCGCCCCGGAGGTAACGGCCCGGCGGCGGGCGGGGAGCGCCCGGAGGTTACGGCCCGGCGGCGGGCGGGGAGCGCCCCGGAGGTAACGGCCCGGCGGCGGGCGGGGAGCGCCCCGGAGGTAACGGCCCGGCGGCGGGCGGGGAGCGCCCCGGAGGTAACGCCCCGGCGGCGGGCGGGGAGCGCGCGCGCGGGCCGGCGCCGGGCCGCGGGGCGGACACGTGGCGTCACACCGAGACCAGGGGGACGGACGGCGTGGGTGCCGAGCGCAGGGGCACACACCCACACACACGCGCAGACACCGACGGAGACCGGCCGCCGGCTCGGGGGCGGCGGTCCGCTCCGCCGCGCTCGACACAGAGGCAGGTCGCTGCTGGTAACGCGGGATCAGGCGGGCCGCGCTGGCCGTGGCATGCAATAGGAGACAGCGGGGGTAGTTTGTCAGCGAGCCGCGGTGGCGGCGGTCTGTCAGCGGCGGCACGGCACGGTCTGGCGGGGGGACGCACGGGACCGGAGCTGGCCACCAGCTCTGGTCCGGGGCTCTGTAGCACCGCTGCGGCTGCCGCCCGGTGGGAAGCGGCCGACGGTATGGCCGGAGACGTGCATGCCGTTAGGTAGTGTTCGGGTGCGGGTGGCAGGCTGCTCTGTTGCGCGACAGGTCTGGTGGGACGGCGCCGTCGGTGATGGGCGGGCCTTGTCCACGGTTCTATACGTTCTTCGTAGTCGGGTAGCAGCACTGGAGCGGATCGGACGCAACATCCGGCGTCGACCAGGTGTCACATCTGCTCATCTAGTGGCGAGTTTCTGGGCGAGTTTGTGGAGCCTTGGGTTCTTGCCAGCTCCAGCGTCGAGTGGACGCGTCTTGACGCAAGTACAGAAAGATGTGGGAAGCATCTACCGCTGTCAAGTCAGAAACTTACGGTCATGGACTGGGGGATCAGTGAGCTTTGGTTCAGCGCCATTTATCTCATTTGTTCTTCATGGTGTCACTTTGACCTGCGCCCGTGGGGTAGTGACCCAACGATTGCATTTGATGGTGCGTCTGCTGGGATTAAACTCACTCATCTTTTCTATTCCCTGCGACAAGGGGTATTTCTCAAAATCAGGGAGAAAGCTTCTCAATAGCATCATTTCAAAATTCATAATTTACCTTCAAACACCATAAATGCACGGTTTAAATGCGCAGTTTAAATGCACGAAAACGAGCATGTCCTTGTATCAAACCTAAATAACCGCCTCGCCAGAATACTTCCTTACGAGCACGAAGAACGGCAAACCTTCGTAGCTTTCTAACCTGATATATTGGAGGTCGGGGTAAAGCGTTAAAACTGCTACAGTCTGTGGATCGTCACTGAGAGTACCACAATTTCCAACATTCATTTTTTGTGTTTTGTACTGCGTTGACCCTGTGGTAATTATTTGCTTTTATTGAATTTCAAACATTTACGAACGCAACTAGTTAATTTTTGCAAATTCACTTAGCACGCACTATTTTGTAAGTAATTGTTAACATTGACCTGCCTAAATTGTTTTTAAACTCAACTAGCACGCACTATTGTGCAAGTTATTGTAAACATCTACCTATCTATAAATTACCTGAAATTATTTCGACCGCTTCACAGGCACGTGCTCATTGTTGAGATATTCTACGGGCATGCGGCAGTCCGAACCTTCCACTCTCTGTTGGGTTTCCGGTCGATGCAGCCGCCCAGACGGTGCCGTCAGAGCCGTCCGCGGTCTGTGGGACGTTCATGGCCGTGCCATGCTGTGGCGGCGCGGGGGCATGCGCGCCGCTGAGCTCTCGGCTCCGGACTCGGCGCGGGCCGACTCCGCCGATCGCTGCCCACCATGAACCCGGCGCGGGCCGACTCCGCCGATCCCTGCCCACCAGGATCTGCACGTCCACTCCGCTGCGACTCCGAACTCACTTCCCGAGTCGCGCCACCTCCCCCACCGTCACCCGGCCGTCCAGTCCATCTCCAGTTCTTCCAGTACGATAACTCTGCTATCCTGCAGTGTCGTAATCCTGCGCCCGTCGATCGGCCTGGGCGGCGTCCGGTCCACCTTGGTCCACCCCGTCTCCCCTGATGTCCGGTCTAGTGTGATCCAGCCCGTCTCCCCTGATGTCCGGTCTAGTGTGATCCAGCCCGTCTCCCCTGATGTCCGGTCCACCTTGGCCCAGCCCGTCTCCCCTGATGTCCGGTCTAGTGTGATCCAGCCTGTCCCCCCTGATGTCCGGTCCACCTTGGCCCAGCCCGTCTCCCCTGATGTCCGGTCCACCTTGGCCCAGCCCGTCTCCCCTGATGTCCGGTCCACCTTGGCCCAGCCCGTCTCCCCTGATGTCCGGTCCACCTTGGTCCAGCCCGTCTCCCCTGATGTCCCGTCTAGTGTGATCCAGCCCGTCTCCCCTGATGTCGGGTCTAGTGTGATCCAGCCCGTCTCCCCCGACGTCCGGTCCAGTTTGACCAAGCCCGCCTCCCCCGACGTCCGGTCCAGCTTGGTCCAGCCCGTCTCCCCTCATGTCCGGTCTAATGTGATCCATCCCGTCTCCCCCGACGTCCGGTCCAGTTTGCCCAAGCCCGCCTTCCCGCCTTCCCTGACGTCCGGTCCAATTTGATCCAGTCCGTCTCCCCCCGACGTCCGGTCCAGTTTGATCCAGCCGGTCTCCCCGGATATCCGGTTCAGTTTGATCCAGTCCGTCTCCCCTGAGGTCCTGGCCAGTTGGGTCCAGCCCGTCTCCTCTGACGTCCGGTCCCCGAGCCGCTCCCTCCGAGGCCGGCCGGTGGCGGGCGGGGCGGGCGCGCGCGTGCCGGGCCGCCGCTGACTCTCGGCCGCGCCGGTCCGGCTCCGGTAGGCACGCTGTGGCGGTACGTGCGCGCCAGTATGAGCATAGCCGGCGTGCTGCCGCCCGTCTGCGACCCCAGCGACGACCACCTGCTCGTCGACGGATGCTATGTGAATAACGTGCCAGGTAGGCGGCCGGCACAGCCCCGGCCGGCGCCAGCGGACGCTGGCGGAGGCGGCCCGCTGTCGGCCCGCTCACGAGCGCACGCCGGGGTGCGGCGGCGGGTGGCGGCCGGCGCAGCCCCGGCCGGCGCCAGCAGACGCTGGCCGAGTCGGCCCGCTGTCGGCCCGCTCACGAGCGCGCGCCGGGGTCAGGCGGCGGGTGGCGGCCGGCGCAGACCCGGCCGGCGCCAGCGGACCCTGGCCGAGTCGGCCCGCTGTCGGCCCGCTCACGAACGCACGCCGTGTGGGTAGACACACGCCTGATGTGAACGCTGCCAGTGAGCCACTGACGTCCGTGTGCGCTGCAACGTTTCATTTTTTCCCCACCGTCGACACCTTGATGGAATAGATAGATATAGATAAGGAGTTTCCACAAAGTGGGCCCTCCAGCCTCCACGTCATTGTGCATACAGTAGTCATTTAAGTTACTGTAAAAGACGGGACATTCCAGCTTCGGGAGGGACCTACAACTACGATCACTACGGTCAGAAGATTTTAGTTGGCGGGCAGTGCACAACGGGAGGAATACATGAGGGACATGAGGAGTACCACACCGCTGGACGGAAACAGCTCTCAGAGCCAGATGTCGTTTACGCCGGCCTGCCCTCGCACGGTCGTGCCTCCCGGGAGTCCGCGGCGAGCGCGGCGAACTGTTGGGCGAATACACTGCCGACTTTAGGCGCGTGATGTTTCGGAGGTTGGCGGCATTGTTAGACGTATTTTTTGTTGTTTTGCTGTAAACCGGAACCGTAAACCGGAAGGTGGATGTCTTGTTTTAGGCGAAGTGGCTCAAGTCCCTTGCATGAAAAGGTTATCGCACTTAAAACGTTATGTTTTGTTCTTGTTGATTAATGTAATCGATTTGATTGATTGACTGATTGGTTGATTTGTGTGTTGGTGTGACCGCCCGGCGCCTGCGGGTGTTGCCGACCTGGCGTGACCTGCCGGAGACGTGACGTGCCGTGCCGTGGGGCAGCGGACGTGATGCGCTCGCAGATGGGCGCGCACATGGTGCTGGCCGTGGACGTGGGCTCGCAGGACGACGCCAGCCTCACCAACTACGGCGACCACCTGTCCGGCTGGTGGCTGCTCTGGAAGCGCTGGAACCCGTTCGCCGAGACGGTCAGGGTACCCAGTCTGCCCGACATCCAGTCCAGGTGAGGGGCTGGGTGGCACGCGCCAGGTCAGGACGCACCTACGGAAGGGATCACTGGCGCACGTGGCGGTTTTGGGTGCATCGTTACCTGTGACACGAGGTGCTCTTTTCAATGGCGCATCTGGCCCAAACATCAGTCGTTGTTGTGGGATGCCACGGTGTCACTGCCTCGATATCGGACAGCGTACTGGTGTTAGCGGCCTGAGGCGTGGAGACGGGTCGGGCCGGCAGCATTCGGGACGGTGCCCGGCCGCTGACCGACGCCTCGGCCCGCTGAGGCCGGCCGCTGACCAGCGCCTCGGCTCGCTGAGGCCGGCCGCTGACCGACGCCTCGGCCCGCTGACCGGCGCCTCGGCCCGCTGAGGCCGGCCGCTGACCGGCGCCGAGGCCAGCTGAGGCCAGCCGCTGACCGACGCCGCATCGCGTGCCGCGCAGGCTGGCGTACGTCTCGTGCGTGCGCCAACTGGAAGAGGTCAAGAGCAGCGACTACTGCGAGTACATCCGGCCGCCCATCGACCGCTACCGCACGCTGCAGTTCGGCAGCTTCGACGAGATCAAGGCAGGTCACGGGTCGCGCCGCCGCCGGGGCGGAGCCGTGAGGGGAGGGGAGAGATACCCTCGCCGTTGGACGCACCGCCGCGGTCCGTGCGTGTGATGTACTTTCGCCATCGATTGCTCGCTCTATTGGTCAGTGGTTTTGCCATTGGTTTTGCTATGCTCACCTTCATACGACTTGATGTTGAAAATCGTAATTGAGATCCGTCTGGATGGTAGTTGGCGTATCTCCACTCTTCTTTATTGACAGTTATGATTGGCGCGAGCGTGGTCGTCCAGTCTGTCGTTGCTGTCTTCTCCTGTACAGTCCCAGTGCTCCGCACTCCGCCCCTCCCCTCCTTTAAGACAATGATCGATTCTCGACAGCCGTCCCAAACTGATGGCACCCGGTACTTTCTCCTGGTTACACCCGGTACTTTCTCCTGGTCAGTGCCGCGCGTACGGATAAAAAGGAACCACGAATAATTGCCAACAATTAGCTTTGCGACGCCTCGCATGGATATCGTGATTTTTCCCCTGTCGTTCGTGCACGGTGACTGTTCAGCTGCTCCAGCCCGGTCAGTTTTGGGCGTCTTTCCAACTCCGGTCAGTCCCCCACCTCGGTGACCAGCTCTCCCTCTTCCCCTCCGCGTCCCCCCCCCCCGCCTCTGGGTCCCGATCTCACGCCGTTTTGCCGGCCGCAGGACGTCGGCTTCTTCCACGGCAGCACCTACTTCGCCGGCATGCAGAAGGCGGGAACGTTGCAGTCGCTGGCGAACCCGAAGAGCACGCCGGCTGCCAAGGAGGCGCCGGCCGTGCAGCGGCGCGTGTCGCAGGAGGCGGCGCACTCGCACAAGTTCACCGACCTCGCCCAGATGGTGGGTGGCCGCTGACCGGCCATCACCACCACCACCGCCGCTGGCATGGCGGACCATGGGGTCGGGCGGGGCGGGATCCTCAGACATCAGGGCGCCGGCTGGAGGGGGAGGGGGCCTGACGCCCGAGGAGCTGTCGCGGGCTGTGGGGCTTGTCCTTACCTGGGGTCAGCACACACGCAGCTCCGCGTGTCCGGTCGTCCGCGTGTCCGGTGACCTCCGAGGGATGGGGTGGTGTCCGGCTCATGTCGTGTTTGGTCTTGCCAGGTTACCGTGTCAGCCAGTGTGTATGCGCGTGGGACTAGCGGTGGGTCAGGCCCAGCGCGTGTGCACGGCACGTGGCGCGCCGGACCGCCGCTGCCCCTCTCGTCCCTCTGAGCGGCTTCGCCTCGGCCGGACAGGTGTGCAGGGTGCGCGTGCCGCGCCACTCCCTGTACGACAGCCTCGACTCGGACGAGGATGAGGACGAGGACGAGTACGGGCTGGAAGGCGGCGCGGCCACAGAGCAGGGCTACCACTCGGAGCCGCCGGTGCCCCGCGGACGACCCCAGGTCAGTCAGCTGGTGACCATTACCCTGGGCTCTGTGGTACAGGTGACCATGACCCGACCGGTGGCGGGTGGGGGCCATCCGGCCCGACCTTGCCTTCGGCAGTGTGGCTAGGGTCCGCCAAGGCCTGTGCTTCCGAGGAGTCTATGCCATGCCTCTGTGGCGGCCTGGTGAGTTGGCGGTTCCCCGCTGGTGGTGACGTGGTGCGGGGTGAGCGCCCGGTGCTGCCCTCTGCGCTGCCGCCCTCACGCTGTGCCGTCGCCGCAGGTGCACGACTCCAAGGGCTACTTCTCGGAGGTGTCCGACATCGAGGTGTCGGAGGGACCCGACACGGCCGACTTGTCGGACGAGCTCACCTCGTAGGGGTGCCCGGGCGGTCGACAGCAGTATCAATGCAAGGAGCAGGGACCCGGCGTGCCGCCCGCCCCTGCTGGGCTGGACGAGCGCGAACCGGGTCCCTGCCCACCCTAGCGCAGGGAGAGCCGTGTGCTCTGGCTTAGCCGCGGCCTGTTTGCCGCTTGGTGGACGTATCTTTCGAACGGGAGTGGCGGCGATGTACTCCGGAGTGTCGCGGCTCGGCAGGGTGTGCTTACGTGAGCTGCTGTGCAGAGCTTGAGTGCCTTAGGTGTGTTGCTTTGCCGTAGTGTTGTGGAAAGAGCCGAGAAGCGCTCTGATAGCGGAGATTATCCAACGCGACGTCATATATTTTGTAGATCTCACAGCAGGGCCGTCAGATATCTGTCAAAGATGGTGCGTCTTACCACGGCCAAAGATCTGCGAGATGTTACACAACGTAATGGGCTGTTGTCTTTCCATGTAGTTTGTGCAACCAAAAGGCAGTGGTGCTAGTGCTTGGGGGCACTGCCGTGTGCGCCTGTTCGACGAAGCAGGACAGCATTGCTCAGCGGGGCGTGATGTATCATGTGATTGTACTCGCGTCCAAATACAGGAGTATATGTGGGTCACATTCTGAGTTATCACTGTGAGCCTCGACACGGAGCCGGAGTCTGTGGGCGAGGTCTGCGCTCGGTCGTGCCCGGTGCTTTGAAACCTGGCATCATCCTCGACTCAAAAACACCGTTCGGCTCTACTTGCCGTAACTCTGCGGGCCATTCAACCAGATAGCTTCCAGTAATACCGCCCATAATCTGGATGATGTGGGTGGACGGCATTGGTTACCTTCAAGTAATAGCGCCCATGATCTGGATTCTGTGGATGGACGGCATCGGTTACCTTCCAGTAATAGCTTCCATAACCTTGGTGACGTGGATGGACGGCATTGGTTACCTTTAAAGTCGAATGCGAACAGCCATGCAGAGCTTATATTCGTCGGACGAGCTCGACTGCGCGGAATGGTGCGATGACCGGGTTTTATGACGGGTGTCGACTGACCCGGCCAAATAGGCGCAGTTGGCTGAGACCTTTACAGGAGAGTAGGACGAATCGCGCCCTGACAAATTTTCACCGTTTAAAGGTAATAACAGGAACGCCTTTGCAGCTCATGCCCAACCCATTCCACATTCAAGGGTGGCGTCACCGTCCCAAAGCGCGTGACTATGGGGTTTTACGACGCACTCTGCTGCTGAGGCTGTATGATGTCGCTCGCCTCTCAACGGCACCACGGGAAATGGAATCCTGTTTCCCAGACGTGCAGTCGCTACAGGAACGGGGGCTGAAGCTATGGTAGGCCCATTCATGGATGTGAACCCGAGCAGGCGCGCTAGTCAAAGCCTTGGCAAAGGGAGGGGGGGGGGGGGGGAACGCATAGTTGACAAATGACCCCTGACAGCGAAAGGCACTCCAAAAAAAGATCGCCAAATATGGTCCACTTGCTAATGATGGCATGCTTTCATCGACATTTTCCCATGTCTTCCTTCTATAACTGGAATGGGAGCCTACAGCTGCTGTGGAGTAAATTCTGATTGAATTTTATCATCAATAAACTGAAAAAATAATGCATTAGGCATTTGCATGAAAAACATCGCTGGCACTTTACTTTTTACAATGGTCTGTGGAATTCCCAAGCCGGTAGAACTTGGAAGCTTAGCCAGACTTTGTACCTGGGCTTTAAAGAGATATTAGGAACGCCGCGAGCGTAGATTGCATATCGAAATGGGCAAACAATTTGTATTTACCTGGGTAAGCAATGCTTGTCTGGAAATTTTCAACATCCAGAGTCGATTCGTGATACAAATATTGTACGTAGTTTTGAACATGCGCGATCTCAACTGTTGGTAACAAAAACCTCGCCGGTAGGCGTTGCAGTCTCCGTAGGACCCGCAGCGACGGCACCATACTAAGCTGTGGCCAACGAGGGGACGAAAATGATGTCGCATCCGAAAGAAGTACATTTGAACGCTTTAGAACATTGAGGCGTGCGTTTAGCAGGTAATCTGGCGGTACATTTCACCAGTGCAATTTTTAGATTGATGTTAAAAGCGGATTGGCATTTACAGCACCGCGAAGTGGTGCTGTCTGGAATCTGGTGGCTGAACTGAAAGGGTAAAGATATAATCTCAATTTTTCGCGTTGCTGTAACTGTACATCTGTCCAGTGGACATCCTCAACGTTTACGCCCAATTTCATGCGAATTAATTTTGAAAGACATTCGGAACCATCATTTTACGAAGGTCGTTATCGCGCGTACGGCGCCCGCCGCCTGGTCTTACTTGCAGTAGTCGACGCGGTCCGATTTTACGGGAGCTACAACCCAGGCCATCGCTGTCCGTGCTCCGGGATTGCGGGCGCTCAGCGTCGAATTTTTTTATGTAATTTGTTTCTCTAGTCGATTCTGCAAAAGAATAAACGTCCTGAAACAGACATTCCAATGTTTATTTTCAGCTTGGTCTGGTTCGTTTATGAACTTATTTTGATCTACTCTATTCTACACCAACGAGACCCCTTATTCCTTTCCGTGAAGCGGTCCCTTGAGCAGAACACTAGGGGGCACACTATTTTTCCCGGTCAAGTGTTGAAGGGGCATTCCATCTCACCGCAGGGTGTCTTCCGGCTGCCGTTCTGGCGACACGGGGCTGCATCACCTGCCGATTTGGAGGCCCTTGGACGGATGAATCATATCACATTGATGCTCTCCCTGACGCGGGAGGCCTCACTCGCGCAGTTGGCCCCGGATCGACGCAGGAACCCTCACTGACGCAACAACATCCCTGAACACTGCAGGTGGTCCAATAATTGGCGCATGGACTCCAGGCCCACTTTTCGGTACTGCGGACCCTGACTGGCACATAAATCTTCCATTGTCTCAACGTGAACGCTCTCATACGTCATATGTCCTGTCATTGACAGAGGGCCCAGGCTAACACAAAAGGTCCTCGGTCATTTGGAGTCCCGTCCCCGTCCCCGTTGAGCATATGTTCCCCTGACCGATTCGAGGTCCCTTGTTGACACGGAATATCCTGTTAGGCACTGTGCCCCTGACCGATACAGGAGCGTCGCATTATTGTAGGGACTTTTTCCTATGTAAATCGCGGGCCCGGCCTTGCCCTTGCTGAGGAAATGGGTCCCAAGAGCTCAGACCGACACGGAGCCAACTGTTCGGTGTTGGTGATCTCTGGCCGACATAGAGAAACGTCCTATCTCAGGGGTACCCAATGGACAAAAAGACCCTCTAGCTTACATTTCAGATCACGGACCTATGAGCGGGGGTATTAAATATGACCTACAGCCAGCACCTCGAGCCCTCCAAACTTCCAATCGCGTCCTTGATCTCGAGGACCGTCTCGATCTCGATTTTGATCTCGACCGGGACCGTCGAGGATCGAGGACGTCTCGAAGGACCCTTCAGCCCCACTCCCGACCTCCTCGAACCAAACCCGTGACAGACTCGAAGCCACTAGCTGATTCATGACTTCCTGTTAGGGACTGCGGGCCCCTGACCGCCAAAGGGGCTCCAACCATTATTTCAGGTGCTCAGACCAATTGCGCTTCAATTCAAGTCGTGGCCCACGGCCTTGCTCCTGCTCGGGGAATGATGCCCAGGGCACAGACTAACAGGGAGTCAATTGTTCGATGTTCGTGGTCTCCGGCCCACCGAGACACCCGCATTGTCCCAGAGGGCCATGAGACGGTGCAAGAGGATTTCTGACTGGTGTTTTAGGTCACCGCCCTACGAGCCGCAATTCTTTAGGTGCCCTATAGCCAGTCCTTCGATCCCTTGTCCTCCAACTGGGCCACTGATCGTCGGTTCCGCTGGGCCGCCCGGGTCCCTCTTCGGGCCTCAAGGAATACCATCCTTGGTTGGCTCGGGCCCCCTTGTGAACATAGGACCTTCTGTTAGGAATTCCGGGCCCCCCACAGATACAGGGCCCCGACCAATGTAAATCGCGGGCCCGGCCTTGTAACTGATTGGAAGCTGGGTCCCTAGGCCAATACCGTCACGGAGCTGGCTGTACAGTGGTGATGTTTGGCCGAAATACCCTAATCGACCTAGAGGGTTACCGATCGGTGCAAAGGGCCCTCTGACTGTCATTTGAGGACCCATTCCCGCAAGGTGGAGCCCTGGAATAAGACCCGACCAGCCCTTTGTATCATTAAGGTTTCCAATCAGTCCCCTTGATCGTCGGTCCCGATGGGCCCTTCAGGCTCTTCGGGCCTCCTCAAGAACTGCTTCTGACCCACGCGGGCCTCTTGCCAGCTCATGCCCCTTATTAGACGCTGTGGGGCCCTGATAGACGCTGGGGCCCGACCAACTTAAATCACGGATTCTTGCTTTGTCCCTGAGCGAGGAATGGGCCCTCAGGCCTCTCCCAACACTAAGCCAACTGTGCGATTCTGGTGGTGTTTGACCGAGACATAGGCCCTTATCGACTCAAGGGCCCCCTGATCAACGCGCAGTGCCGCCTGCATGGCACTTGTGCCGTGTGCCTTTGAACTCTGGTAAAGTGCCCGGTCTTGCGGGCCGGGCCCCTGAATGCAACCTCCAGCAAGCCTTTCAGGACCTTCGGGCCTTCAAATCGGGCTCTTAATCGTAGGTTTCGAGGGCCCTCCCGGAACCTTAAGGGGGCACGGGGCCCTGTGCCCCCTCCCCCGTCTGCGCTTTTGAGCCCAAGACAACATCTGCAGTACATGCGACAGCATAAACGCAACAAAATATCAAGATATTGTTAGGTCTAATTTATGCGCACTTAAACGCTGGTATATTCCCGCTATCATCTGTTTAGTTGCTGGCTGGTGCTGTTTGAGAGACATGCCGAGTCGTCTGGGCAAATAATAAATATAGCTGTCATGCACCCTACGTTTTTTCGACATGACTTTGTTTGAAATACGCGATAAGACCCATATGTTTATGCCTAATGATCAATATAAAACAAATGAGAATTGTCACCTTTCTGTGACATGATATTGATTCTTGTATAATCAAGTTAAAACATTTTTTGTTTTGGTTTGAGGGCTATTTTTCACATTCAGAGTACTAGAGATGGCCGTTTGCTTTACATTTCGACTGATGTCCTAGTACTTTTCAACGGGCTCTCATAGCTCATCAGTAAAAATGCCTTAAGGGGTTGATTTATCAAAGTTTCTATGATACTGCTCTTCTAACACACTAGTTTTGTGTCAAAATGGCATAAAATACATCATATTTGTCCAAATCTGTTTAGTGGTAGCTTTTAGTGCTGTTTGTGTGGACCCTGAAGTACTTGCTCACGCGGTCCTCCTCGCAGCCTATTTTCTTCACCTGGAGAGGCCGGTGGGGACATGATGGCGCTGTGCTCGTCAAGAATTGTGGCGGTTGCCGCCAGGCACATTCCTCGCACCGCAACAAAGGTTTGATGCAGATCTAACAGCAATTTAAGTTCATGTAGTGTTCTTTAGAAAGTATTGGGAGATAAGCTAAGATTAGGCGAAAATGGCGCATGTATGCTCATGCAGGGACTGCAAGTAATATTGTAGAATTATATCGCGAAATTGGTTTATTTACTCATTAAGCTCTGGACCATCGTTTTTGGGGCTCTCGGTATTCATGAAAATCAAACATGTGTGCATAACTAACCCGGTTAGCCAACCAGTCAATGTGCCACAACATAACAGCCATAATTTTCATTTTGCCACTGATTTCTCCAAATAAAGTCAACTTTTTACCTTTGCATAATGCTGTAGTTATATGTAATGTGTTATAGGGTGATTGGGATGAGTGGTTGATGAACTGGTTGGCATATTGTGAGATTGTGTGGCTCATCTGGTTCCTGAGGTAGTCAAGAGAAAAACTCATGTTTTTGGCTGACCAGTTATGTGTGCAAATGGGGAGACCAATAAACTCTCACTTATACCACTCTGTAGCAGGTTTTCCACACTATTTTCTTGCATTGTTTGTTAAAAGTTGTGAAGGAGGGCTTGAAAAATCTAAATAGCCTAGTATCAATTAAATGTTTGCCTCTAGGATTCTGGCCCAGGGTCATCAAGTAGGTGTAGTAGGTGTTATGCTGTAAAGTCTATGGGGATCTCTGGGATTGTGTATTTCTTTTTATTATTTCTGTGATAAGTATGTTAATGCTGATCCAAATGTCAAAAAGTACCATCGAGAACATTTTTCTTAGTTACCTTTTCATGGCAATTTTTTTCTTTAAAGATACTCATGTGCATTTCTGCAAGTGTGAGATATGAGTATCAATACATTTTGTATAAGCTGCCTGGCCATGCATTAAATTTATGTCAAAAGTGGGCATATAGATTTTGCTGTTTAGAGTTTTAGTATGATTCAAACACCACAGGGGTCAAACAAACCACAGCCAAAAACGATTTCCCAGGTAGAGCAACTAACCCAGGTTAGCAGTGAGAGAAATATCAGTGTTAGCAGGTGGAAGCAGCAGTCACTACTATGCTGCGGTCTTTGTAAGCACAAGGGAAAATACCAAAGTGGTTACTGTATGATAATTGTGCAGATTTTCTGCTGATGGTCAATTTGAGGTGAATTTCTAATTTTTTCTTTAAGATGCTACATAGCTGAAATATGTTGGTTTTCCCCACTAGCAGCTACAATCACAACCTTAACAAACCAGAGTTGATTTCTGACCCACCTTAGCTTGAAGTGGCATAGATCGTAAGAAGAGCAGCAGCTCCAGCACATGTAGAATCTGGAGCAGTTAAAAACTCTGAGAGGATGATGAACAGGATCTCTAAAACAGTCATGTGTTCATATTTTGTGCTACAGGAGGTTTTGTGTTGCGGGATTGTGACTGGATCAAGTGTATGACGTTATACTACAGCACAACCATAGTACAAAGAAAAATGGTGGATTACAAAAAGCTTTGTATTCAATTAGCCCCAGTTCTGGCATGGCAGAGTTTGTAGCAGAGAGTGCAGTGAACAGCAACAATGTTTGGTTTTCAGGCCCTGAATTCAGAAGACTTGGGTATCCACAAGCCCAGATATTGCCCAAGAGCCATAGGCAGTGAAAGGTAGCTGTTCAAGGTAGCTGTTCATAGGATCATAGAGATCATAAGGGTGGGCTTGCTCCGAGCTGTGGCTGGATCAATGTTCACACCCCTGACACTGTTTGCAGGTCACAAAGACCTCGCTGCCGATCGTGCAGGTGGCCAGCCGGAAGTTCAGCGCCTCATCCCAGCAGCATGCCGCCAACTCTGCCGAGATCTCTTCCATCCTGGAGGAGCGCATCCTTGGTGGGTCCTGCTGCCACACATCCTTTTATCAGCACTGGCCGGCCACTGAGAGGCTGACCGGCCGGACCCATTAACTTGGATGGCAGTAAACATGGCTAATGATGGTGACAGATTCAATGCTGGTATGATACTGGTGTGCAATTGACTGTGATGGCCCTGGTGCCTCAGAAAACAGATGCCACACTTATTGTTGTGCTTGCTCTGATGAAAATGTGGATGAATGGTGACATGGGGAGATAATTGTGTGTAGTGTAAACTGCCCTAGTTTTGCAGCCTGGGACTACTCATGGCTGTCCCGCCTGGTCGGGATGTCGTCTGCTGGTTGTGTGCCCACTGCCACTGCAATGACCATTGTTGCCACCTGTGGCCAGGTACCTCCGTCAAGGCCGATCTGGAGGAGACGGGCCGCGTGCTCAGCATCGGTGACGGTATCGCCCGTGTGTACGGCCTGAAGAACATCCAGGCTGAGGAGATGGTGGAGTTCTCGTCCGGCCTCAAGGTGACTGGTGGTGGCTATCCACTGAGTGCCTAGTAATGCCCTCTGGCTGGTGTTTGTCATACTCGAGGCTTACGACGCCACCTGAGGCGTGTGAGACGGCGAGCAGCGAATGTAGGATTGTGACATGCTGTTATACAGGCCTGTGCGGCAGCTGGCGTGTGCTCTCTGCCGGATCCTGCTGCTGGGTGTGTGTGACGCCTGGGCCACACGCGGTGTGCCGGCCGTGAGCGGGCGGCAGCGCCTACTGCCACTGTCCTGCCGCCGGCCGCTGCTCACCGCCCCTCCGCCGCCAGGGCATGGCACTCAACCTGGAGGCCGACAACGTGGGCGTGGTGGTGTTCGGTAACGACAAGCTCATCCGTGAGGGCGACATCGTGAAGCGGACCGGCGCCATCGTGGACGTGCCCGTCGGCGAGGGCCTGCTCGGCCGCGTCGTCGACGCCCTGGGCAACGTCATCGATGGCAAGGGACCCCTGAAGAACGTCAACAGGTGGGCGAGCACGCGGTAGCGCTGAGTGGTGGATGCGAGATAGAAGATAAAAAGAGCTGGCAGATGCCCCATTTCCTACACAGAGCGATTCATTTATTTCATTCATTCCTTTCAGTTGCCAAGCATTCTTTTAATTTATGTCATCATATGATTGGTTATAGCTACATCAGATGAATGATTAGCACAGAATTGGAGCACCTACCCAAAATAAACGTGTGGTATAATAATGGATAGAGATGACTGCCTAAAAAAGAAGAGGATGTGCCTGCCCCACTGACTCCGCCGGGCAGGATGTATCTTGATCAGGTGGCTTAGCCCCAAGCACCGCTGCTAAGCCGTCAGCAGAGTCACTCCATGGTGGTGCCATTACAAGGCTGGTCAGTTCATTTAACGACGAATCCGTCTACAGTCACGTCCTTCGCCGCGTTGTTGGCCAGCTGTCCGTGGGCGACGTGCGCGGGCGGTGCAGCCCCGTGAGCAGTGTACCCGTGTGTCCGGCAGGGCCCGCGTGGGCGTGAAGGCGCCCGGCATCATCCCGCGCCAGTCGGTGCGCGAGCCGATGCAGTCCGGCATCAAGGCGGTGGACTCGCTGGTGCCGATCGGCCGCGGCCAGCGCGAGCTCATCATCGGCGACCGGCAGACGGGCAAGACGGCCGTCGCCATCGACACCATCATCAACCAGAAGCGCTTCAACGACGGCCAGGATGAGAAGAAGAAGCTCTACTGCATCTACGTGGCCATCGGCCAGAAGCGCTCGACCGTGGCGCAGATCATGAAGCGGTTGGGCGACATGGATGCCATGAAGTACACCATCATCGTGTCGGCCACGGCCTCGGACGCGGCGCCGCTGCAGTACCTGGCGCCCTACTCGGGCTGCGCCATGGGCGAGTTCTTCCGCGACAACGGCAAGCACGCGCTCATCATCTACGACGATCTGTCGAAGCAGGCGGTGGCCTACCGTCAGATGTCGCTGCTGCTGCGCCGGCCGCCCGGCCGTGAGGCGTACCCGGGCGACGTGTTCTACCTGCACTCGCGCCTGCTGGAGCGTGCCGCCAAGATGAGCGACAAGAACGGCGGCGGTTCGCTCACCGCGCTGCCCATCATCGAGACGCAGGCCGGCGATGTGTCCGCCTACATCCCGACCAACGTCATCTCCATCACCGACGGCCAGATCTTCTTGGAGACGGAGCTGTTCTACAAGGGCATCCAGCCGGCCATCAACGTCGGTCTGTCCGTGTCCCGCGTCGGCTCGGCCGCCCAGGTCAAGGCCATGAAGCAGGCGAGTGACGAGATGGCGGATCGAGCTGACGGGCGCCGCCAGCAGTCGCGTCTTCCTCTGTATATGGACGGTGTCCACTTTTTCGAACTATGCTAAGGATAGAAAGCTCAACTGGTACGAATCTGTCCCAGGTTTTCAATTGGACCGTGCTTGTGCATTGTCAGGTTAAGGTAGAGCTTCCAGGCTCCACGGAAGTTTCTTGGCACTAATGTGTGTCAATTCGGTTTTGAAATTATTGACTGCAGGTCTGCACTAAGCTTCCTCTCAAGTGTCCAAGAAGACAACCACCAGGGAGAAAAGACATTCCATGGTTATTCCTAGTGACTTCGGGATCGAACCAATGTGGGTGCTTTTCCATGCTCTAGTGTGATATGTCAGCGCATGCTACATGCGCGGCTTGACACGGTGCCGGTGCTGCCCTCAGGTGGCCGGCTCGATGAAGCTGGAGCTGGCGCAGTACCGCGAGGTGGCGGCGTTCGCGCAGTTCGGCTCTGACCTGGATGCGTCCACACAGCAGCAGCTGAACCGCGGCGTGCGGCTGACCGAGCTGCTGAAGCAGGGACAGTACGGTACGTGCGGTGCGGGCCCGCCGATCTCTGGGCGCCAGGCGTTCGGCCACCACCTTTGCGACCCATTGAGAACCAATGCAAATGTACCATGTCGTGCATTTGATATTGCGCGTCCTGTTCCCTCCGACTTACGGACGTCTTCTTTCTCTGTGTAAGGACGATGCTCTAAATCTGACTTGTCCTAAGGAGAGAAAGTACAGAAACTGACAGCTTACCAACCTGGCCCATGTCTAAAATTGGGTTGGGGTGGAGCTTAGACCACAATATGCCTCAGTTTCAAGGCAGTGCAAAATTATGGCAGCAATGGCCGCAACAGTGTCATGCCCTGTCAATGATTCCTTTTAATCACCATCAGACTTTCGCACGATGCCTGTTGCGCCGTCGTTGACATTCGTATGAGCTTGTGTTGAGCATGTTCCTGTGACGGGCAGTGCCGATGGCTGTGGAGGAGCAGGTGGCCGTCATCTACTGCGGCGTGCGCGGCCACCTTGACAAGGTGGACCCGTCCAAGATCACCCAGTTCGAGAAGGACTTCCTGGCGCACATCCGCGTCACCGAGAAGGACCTGCTGGCGCACATCGCCAAGGAGGGCTCCATCTCGCCCGAGACGGACGCCGCCCTCAAGAAGATCGTGCTCGACTTCATGGCCAGCTGGTCGGCCTAAGCGGCGCGCGCGTGCGTGCCAGCTGGGCCGGGCCGCTGGTGGGGGGTGTGACGGGCCGTTTTGTATGGTGTAGTGTCGACTGCCGCACGGAGCGCCGTCAGTGAGTACGTGTCGTGTGCGAGGGGAGCGGCAATGGTGAACGCCAGCGCGCGGCGCACGCGCTCTGTTATTATATATTGGTTCGCCCGAATAGACCACCACAGACGGACCGATGGGTTTTACCAACGGGCTCCGGGCCTGGATTCCCGTGTAGTGTGGAGTGGATCGGGGATGAATCGTCCAACAGTCGTGCGGCGGTCTCTTGATTTACTGGAACATCATGTTGCACTGTAAACAATCGTTGCAGCCAAAGTATGTTTAAGAGACATTTTTGTTCTGCAATAGAGCAAAAGATGTTGCTCTGTGTTAGCTACAGTAGCATCATTTGCTCCACCACAGCACATGGGAGCAGTTGAGCGGTACTCCCTGTACGACTTGAAGTCCTACATCGAAATTAATCGATTTATTACAAATTTAAAAGCGGCCACAGCATTGGCCAATTTCTTACATCAAGATGTGTTCTTTAGAAATATCTGATGCTCACATTTCTATTGTTTTAAGTAAGATTCGTGTCTAATGGCGATACTAACTCGTAGATGCATTGCCTGCAAAATGCATGCAGTTCGTCCAGAGTTACTGTTACTATTGGGATTTTTTCTTTGCAGTTCTGCCGTCCGTTAGCGCGCACCCGGGTCGCTGGTTGAATACCATCCTCTCGGGTGTGGGTCAATTTGAAGCCCCCCTCCGCGAGTTCTCAGAAGCAGTACGTGAGCTCATTTGTGTCGAAATATGAGGTTCCTTGATCAAAATAAAAAAGGTGAGAGAGGGAGAATACACGAGCTGTGAACGACTACAACCACCGTTTTTTTATATGCATCGTCTATTCATTTATTAGCTGCAGGTAGCCGTAGGGCAAGGCGACGCGAAATCAGGCTTCGGTGGAGAGTCGAATTGACGAGCAGGAGGGGAGCGATTTGACCAAAGGCCGACAGGTCTTGTATTAATCTGAATATGTGGATCTGCATGTGATTCCAAGCTGACGCACGTGTTGGAAGCTGTCAACAAGGCTATCTAACGGCTGTCATACAAGGCTGGGCTGCCTAGCCAGGCTGTCAATTAGAAATTCGTTACATAAGTGGTGCCGGCAAGACGATCTTGACGAAATGGAAACAAAACTGGATGACGTAAACGCCCGTAGATGCCCTTGGTGGATGCCGTGAGGTGTGCGGGCTTGGGGCATTACGCGTTGCTTGGTATTCTGTGTGAGGTGAGGTGTGGTGTGGTCATGACCCATGCACAGGCTCGTTTATGTCGATTTTTCTGTCGGTTTTTCTTATGATGCAGGACAGCTATAGTTACATCAGTGAACGGGCTGGTACTGACCAGCATGGCTGCCCCAGCCCAAACACGTAACTGTTTACTGAATTCTCATCCATTTCAGTGACATGTTTTCTGCTTTACCTGTTGGCTTCATAGACATATTGCAGCATTCTTTTTTGAGGTTATGATTATTTACAATGTGAAGTGGTGTAGTTCCAAAGCAAACCTTGAGACTTATGACATGGGTTTGTGACATGATACATATGCCTAAGGTCTGCTCCTGTCATTCCTCCAGAAAAGATGAGATAGTTTGGAGAATGGCAGAGTAGTGCTGAATCTGCATTAAATCAGCTGCTTCTGGCATAGTAGTGCTAAATCTGCATTGAGTCAGCTGCTACTGAAACAATTTGGGGAGTTATCAGCTGAAGTGAACACTATTGAATCAATATCATTCATGGCACTATTGAAAGTATATCCAAGACCCCTGGCACCCTCACCAATTGCTAAGGTGTGAGGGTACTGGTGGCATAGTGGTTAATGTGTGAGAGGCTGGTGTCACCATATAGCCTCAGCAGCTGAGTATGCTGTAGGCCCTGATGACAATGATCATTGTCAGGGTGCATTGCAATTGGTGGTGCAAGCATGTCTCAGATATAAGCACAATCTCCTGTTGGCAGCAGCAAATTTGGGTGCAGCCTTTGCAAACTGAACATTTGCATAGTGTTAGCAACAGCTGAGTAACATGGCTACTTGATCTGGATCAAATATGGTGCTTATTGCAAAGGCATCAAAATGCTCATGTCCAGAATTGGTTTACTTGTTTCAGTGCATGCCATTTGAAGCAAGAAGCCTTCCAGATTTGTAAGGCAGTATGTGGATTAGAAGACCACAGCTTCAGAGGCTTTTGAATCTACAGAAGGTGTTGAGGAACTTCTTTTCAAGTGATGGTAGAATACAAAAACCAAAACTCAGCTACCCAGGTGGATCAGACAAAATTGGGGCATATGGATACTTCCTTCTGGTAAGTAGTTGTGGTTTGTGCCTTTTTATAGAGATTGATGTGACATCTTTGGATGAAAGCAAATATTCCACAATCTCACATTGTAGTTATGTTTATATTCTAAAACAATATGTGACATGAAAGAGGCATCTGGTGTCAACAAAGCTGCAATGAAAATTATAGTGGTCATGGAACCTTCTTATTAAGCAGCTTCTTAGAAAATGACATTAGAAGTAGCAGCTAAATAAGGTGCTATTACTTTTCAGACTATTCCAGCAGTGACCTTTGGTCTGGGTACATGGCAGATACATAGGTGGCAATGGAAGCTAGATCTTATCAAAAGTTTGCTGGAGAAGACTAAGGCTGACCCAGTGGAGCTTCCCCATGAGTAAGTGTGTTGCAGTAAGCATTACCAGCCTGTGTTCAGTGTATGCAAAGGATCTTAAATGGATCTCCTCACTTGTATGTATTTCCTGAAACTTACACCATCAGATCTGGTCTGATCACGCTACTGGACACTCTATTGTACTTTTACAGTATGATGAAGTTATAGACCAATTCTATCTGATGCCTGTCAGTCAGTTAGGTCTCTGGGGTGGCATTGTTCTATGATACCTCTATTTTAATCTAATTTGTTTTGTAATATCAGTGGTTGCAGGACTTTGGCACCAGCTTCCTTACTGTCTTGGTATAACCAACCCATGCCCATTGGACATGACTGTGTGCAATCTCCATCCCGTGACCCCCTCCTCTTGAGGACAGCCTGTCGGAGCTGACGTCGCTGGAGTACAAGCCAGTGCGCGTGCGGGGTAGCTACGACCACAGCCGGGAGCTGTACATCGGGCCGCGCTCGCAGATCGTCCAGGGCGGCGACGAGGAGCTGGGCCGCAGCGGTCTGCTCTCCACCGGCCGCACCGGCGTCCAGGTGGTCACGCCCTTCCAGCTCGCCGACTCAGAGTGAGTTGCGTGGTGGCACCATCTCGTGCATGGACCCAGAGAGCGAGCGCGCAGTCCTGGCTGTGGCTGTCAGCACAGTCGCGGAGACTGACGTCCCATATACGGCACCAGAGAGCGGACGCAGAGTCCTGACTGTGGCTGCCAGCACAGTCGCGGAGATTGACGTCTCATGTACGGCACCAGAGAGCGGGCGCACAGTCCTGGCTGTGGCTGCCAGCACAGTCGCGGAGATTGACGTCTCATGTACGGCACCAAAGAGCGGGCCCACAGTCATGGCTGTGGCTGTCAGCACAGTCGCGGAGATTAACGTCTCATGTACGGCACCAGAGAACGGACGCACAGTCCTGGCTGTGGCTGCCAGCACATGCGCGGAAACTGTGACGACGTCTCATGCTCGCGCCGGAGAGCTGCTCCCCACGTGGGCAGTGTTAGGGCTGTCAGTGCATTAGAGTGCAGCAGAAGGTAGGTTTGGGAAGCGGCCCAGTGCTGAGTGCTCAGGGATGACAGCATACTGTGGTGTTATCTGTGGTCGGTCATTGGGCGTCTTCGCAGACATTTATGGTCCCGTTTGGAAGTTAATGTTGGTCACCGAGGTCTGCAGCGTATCTGTCTCACGAGGACTCCCTGCTAAAGTAAACATAGACCCACGCGCGGATCGTGACGCCCGGCGCTGCGCCCCCAGCATGGAGATTCTGGTGAATCGCGGCTGGGTGCCCATGGCGAAAATGGATCCCTCAACGCGGGCTAAAGGTCAGATCGAGGGTGAGCATGAGATCGTCGGCGTGGTCCGCATCACGGAGAAGCGCACCCAGTTCATGCCGGCAAACACCACCAGCAAGAAGAACCTTTACCTGTACAGGTGAGCACGGCCGCCAGTGTGCCTTCTGCCCCAGCTGGGATCTTGTGGCCCTGCTGCGCAGCTCTATTTTAGGGTATTGGATGCGCTGCCTGCTCTCCCCCACGTCTTGAGCTCATTGCTTTTTTCGGGATCCGAATCAGATGACGATATCAGATGATGATACATTCGGTGTGTTAGCGCTGTCAGCTGCATTTGCTTGACATTACCAGAGCTTTACCTTACCTCAGATGATGGGCTTTGTGATTTCGGCTGTCTTTGGCTGCTGCCGTGACTTGCGCGTGTCGGTGATCATCTCCCCGTCGCCTGTCCCGCCCATGTCCACGCCGCCCCACCCGCGTTTTTCGTTAATGCGCCTCCCGTGTACCTTGCAACCCAGCTCCCAGCTGACTGGGCGTTAACGCTGACTCCCGCGCTGGCTCGGAGTGCTGACGCTGGCTCCCACGCTGGCTCGGAGTGCTGACGCTGGCTCCCGTGCTGGCTCGGAGTGCTGACGCCGGCTCCCACGCTGGCCCGGAGTGCTGACGCTGGCTCGGAGTGCTGACGCCGGCTCCCACGCTGGCTCGGAGTGCTGACGCTGGCCCCCACGCTGGCTCGGAGTGCTGACGCTGGCTCCCGCGCTGGCTCGGAGTGCTGACGCTGGCCCCCACGCTGGCTCGGAGTGCTGACGCTGGCTCCCACGCTGGCTCGGAGTGCTGATGCTGGCTCCCACGCTGGCTCGGAGTGCTGATGCTGGCTCCCACGCTGGCTCGGAGTGCTGATGCTGGCTCCCACGCTTACTCAGAGCGCTGACTTTGACCCGCGCTGAACCAGAGCGCTATGGCTGCCTCCCCGCTGAACCAGAGCGCTATGGCTGCCTCCTGGTGACTCGGAGCGTGGTCGACAGGGACGTGAAACTGCTGTCGGGCGTCGCCGGCACGGCACCTGTCTTCCTGGACCTGACGGTCGAGTGTGCGCCGCCCGGCGCGCCGGCCGCCGGGCAGACGCGCGTCACACTGCGCAACGAGCACCTCTCGTACATCGCCACTTGGTACTGCCTGAGCGCCTTCACCAGCGTCATGTGGTACCGCCGCTTCGTGGTGCTGCCGCGGATACGCGCCGAGGCGCTCGGCCGGCTTCGATAGATGACGCCGCCGTCGTCCGAGAGAAGAAGAGGGCCGCGCTGTGAGTTGTGCCGACCGCGGCCTGTGTGTGTCTGGGTGCCGACCGCGGCCTGTGTGTGTGTCTGGGTGGACGTGTTGATCTGTGTTGGAGAAGGTGCTGCCGGGAGTAATATACGCACTGCTCTGAAGCAGGGAATCTGACTGCGCTCGGATGTTTCATCATGTTATGTTTAGAACGGCGAAAGGAACTCAGTAATAACGGTCGTCGCTAGGAATTGCATTTTTGTTCAACTACGCTAGCTACTGGCGCCGTAGAATGCATTCCGTGACACTTGCAACGAAATCCTGTGTTTCCCGAGGGAATGAAAACATGGAAGATGTTTTGTTCGTGGCTTCGTACTATCATTAGCATCAGACCACTCATAACATGCCGGAGCTAAAAAGGCCTGAACACGTACCATTCACAGAGGAATTTGGTGTAAAACTGGCCACTTTAGTACGCCCAACTGGCGTAGAAGTGAGGCTTCACACAGGCATCCTGCAACACTGCGTCAAACTTGACCTCGCCTTCCAGATTTGCCGTCTTCGGTTTCCTTGACTCACAAGGGCAATGCCGCGACTCGGCCGCTCTTTCCTGCTGTCTCCGTTTCTCCGCGGCCATCGTACTACCCTTGCTCTGTCGCCCTGTCGCCCCATCACGCTGCACCATCTGCCTTGCCCAGGTGGGACCGAGCCTGATACTTCCCCCGGGCTGCCGCCAGCGTGGCCGGGCGTCCGGTCCCTCCCCTGCCCCGGGACCGGGAGGCACCTCGATGCGTCCGCCGACGCCGCTGGCCCACAGACCAGGCCGGGCCAGAGCGGCGGCGGCCATCCACTATCACGTCTCACGCTGCGCATGCTCCGCGCGCACGGCGCTCTGTAGACGGCTGCTCGACAGGCCACGGCGCCCGCCAGCTGCGCCGCTCGCAGGGCGCTGGCGACCTGCGAGTCACGGACGGAGTCCCGGTCACTGGCGGAGTTCCGGTCACGGGACGGAGTCCCGGTCACGGGCGGAGCCGCGGTCACGGACGGAGTCCCGGTCACGGGCGGAGCCGCGGTCACTGGCGGAGTCCCGGTCACGGACGGAGTCCCGGTCACGGACGGAGCCGCGGTCACGGGCGGAGTCCCGGTCACGGACGGAGCCGCGGTCACTGGCGGAGTCCCGGTCACTGGCGGAGTCCCGGTCACGGACGGAGTCCCGGTCACGGGACGGAGCCGCGGTCACGGACGGAGTCCCGGTCACGGGCGGAGCCGCGGTCACAGACGGAGTCCCGGTCACGGGCGGAGTCCCGGTCACGGACGGAGCCGCGGTCACGGGCCGGCTCCCGACCGGTCGTGTGGCGCCCGCTGCTAAGCTGACCCGCCGCACCGTGTCGGCCCGCTTCGGTGCAGCGAAGGAGGCGGTCGGCGGGGGCGTGTGCCACTTAACAGGGCGTGGGCGGGCCAACGCGCTGCCGTCTTCTGGCTATTTGCTAATTTGAGGGGCGGTGATTAAGTGATACGCCATGTTCGAATATCGGTGTCAGGATAAATGTTTTGGTGGGCCTTTTGCCTTGGTTGTGTTTCGATCGCTTGCATGGAGCTAAATGCACTCACTTTGATGTAAATGCAAACAGCTGCCGGCTGAGCTATGTCGCTGTCGTTGTTCAATGACATGGTTATCACAGCCACTGTCGCCACACAAAGAGTTCGCAACAGCATGCGCCACGCAGTCTTTTAACAGAGAAAAATGCGCTCGTGCGTCGCATGCACGAACATTTTGTGGCTCTTATTCAAACTTTAAGAAGTACCCGCACGCAATGCACGTTGCCGAAGGGTGGGGAGGAGGAAGAATCGAGCGTATTGTGAGCCAGATGCGCTGTTGGACCGTTCGGCCGACATGTGAAGGCCGTGGTTGGTGGCTGTTGTTCCTCAGTTTATTTTAGATTGATGCTCCTCTCTACGTTGGGGCCGCCGAGTAGACTGAACGGGATGTGGCGCGCTTTCGTTATTCCGTGACATCACGTCTGCACTTGGTGACCACCCCATGACGAAATCACATGGAGCCTGGTGTCCGCTTGCAAGCAATGCATATGGATGAGGTGACGCCATGCTTCGCTATACTGAGCTTCGCGGTGATCAGCCGTTCAGCACCGCTGACGCGCGCCAGCCGGAGTCCGGCGTCACGGCTCCCGCTGGGTCTGCACCAGTGGCCTGCCTGCCGGTGCGGCGGCGCGCGTGCATCCGAGTCCCGTCTTGTCACGACGCGAGTCTGACGCGAGCCTGTGTACCGGCCCGAGCTGGGCGGTGTCGGAGCCGCCCCCCCCCCCCCCGGCCTCAGCGGGCCCCAGGGGGCGTCCGAGACCCGGGTGCAGTGCGACTTCTGGCTCCCAGGCGGTGCTGTCACAGCTGGCGACGCGTAGTTTCGGTCGTTCGGTCGATGCGCCCGAGGTGTGCAGAATATCTTCATAAATATGTTCAAGATTTTCTGTTATTACGCTTCGGTTTCCTTCTCACTACTCTCCATGATTTATACACTGTAATATCCGATAGTGAGATCTCGGAGGAGATAGCGCGCGTCGTCAGTATGGGTGAAGAGGAGCGTGACTACGCCGCTGGGGCCGTGCCCTCTGACCCCACACGGCTGTGAGTGAGCGGCCAGCGGTTCTGTGGACGTCCTGGCGCCAGGCGCCACCTGCGGCGGCGGGCCGACGTCCGCCCTGTCGGGACAGATAGCGCCATCCGGCGGGGCTCGCCGCGTCCGGTGGCTGCTGCGGTCCAGGCCGCACCGGCACCGTTACTGCCACTATGGCTCAGATGGCCCTGAAAGCTGCTCATTGTTAAAAACTCGGTCTCAGATTTTACAAACCTTGAGCGCACTGCACAGCGCAGCGTATAAAACCGAACGACACGTTCATTGATCGTCAATAATAGCCCATTCAGTTTATTCAAGTTTCCTTATTAGCAAATGTGCTGTTCAAATGACCATTTGTGCGATTTTCCAAGATCATCTTTAAAGGCGCCATATTAACCTTGATTGATGCAGCGGTGATACGTTGATGCGTCGCTGGTGAGCGTAACACTGGCACTGATGTCACTGATGCGGTTATTACGGACTGGCCAGACCACTGACTCGGTTACCAATGATGTGGCCGGTAGCAGGGGCACAGCCAGAGCCTTGGTAAGGGTGGGAGGCGGGGGGGGGGGGGCAGAGGGTTGCCAAAGGACCCCATGAGTTGGGAAGCCCGCTCCTCCCCCAGAAAAGAGACCGCCGGATTTAGCGCACCTGATATCGAGGGACGCGATTTTCTTCGCATCACTTTTATCTGTAACTTCTTTTACCGGAATGGAAGCCTGTAAAACCACCGGAGGATGCAGTTCTGTTGGCATTTTGAGGAAGCGGCTGTTAAATGGCTGCATGAAATATACGACCGGGGTTTTTCATCTTATATCGGTCAAATGTGCTTTTTCTTGACCTATAAAGCTCAGCGGCTTTATACAAATTTGGCTTTTACAGAGATATTGAGGACCCCGTGCACTTAGGCGGCACATGGAAATGGATAAAAAATTTGTCTTACATAACCAACCATGTCCATTCAGGAATTTTAAAACTTCAGCCAGGATCAATTATTGGGAGAATACGTAGCATTCTGAGCTTGCGCGCTCGCAAGTCTTGAAACAAAAATGCTGCCGCCCGGCGCTGCGGTCTCCAGAGGCCGCGTGGGGTCGGCGCCGTCGCTTCAGGCGGTGGCGCCAACGGGCGGACAGAAATGAGCATCTGAAGGTAGTACCTTTGAACGCTTAAGGACAGCTATTGGTGCGCTTAGAAGGCATTCCCGGTCAATATTTTACCTGTGCGGTTCTTGAATTGATTATTGGAACAGATAAGCGTAAGTTGTTCAGTGCATTTGCGAGGAGAATTATTCACATAAATAAAACAGTAGTAATAGCCTTATCCCTGCGAGAAAAAAAATCAGGAGAATGGAGATATAGATTGGCTGATATTTTTGGCAGCATGTCTTATCGAAACAATAGCAGGGGTGAATTCAAAATTGCCTGCCACTCTCTGTTTCATCCTTGAATATTGGTGTCCTGTAAGAACTGTGGCTTGCTGTTTCAAAAAACAACCCGACAAATTGAGTAGGATCATCGGCAGGCAATTTTGAACTTACTTCTGCTACTGTTTTGACAGGTATGTTGCCGAAATATCAGCCCATCTATGCCTCCATTCTCCTGGTTTTCCTTCGACCAATAAGGCTGTTATTGTCTGATCTATGGGAACGGATAAGCATTTTCAGACTCCAAACCTGTGCCCGAATCTGGTGATCAAACTGAAAGAGTACCGAGATGTAGAATCTCCATTCGTTGTGTTCCTGTAAATTTCAATTTATTCAGAGAAAAAATATCAATTTAAACGTCAACCATGCTCAGTACACCCAAATATGAATTGATGTTGAGCTCTTTAGAAACACTTCACGACTGTCGTTCTCGCGCGTTCAGCACGCCAGCCACCTGGTGTTACCTATAGCGGCGAACGCCGTTTGGTTTACGGAAACTGCAACTCCTGCCATAGCTGTTCTCACTCCTGAGATTGCTAACGCACGGGCTAAAACGTATATGTGAATTGTTTCGCTAGTGGATTCTGCAAAAGGATGGACGTTTTCTGGCAAGCACGTGTTGGCCTTTTCTTTTTTGACCTCATTTTGATAAACTCTATTGGACACTAATAATGCAGCCCCTCACCTTTTTCCGGAGAAAGGGACACCGTGGTTAGACCACAAGGGGCACATTATCGTTCCCGGTCAAGGTTTGAAGAGTGCGCGGCTCAACCGCGTGTCCGTCCCAGCACAAGGTGTCTGCCGGCTGTCATTCTGACGACACTGGGGCAGGGTGTCTTGGTCGATCCGCAGGTTCCTAGGGAATTGCACCATACATTGGCTCCCTCCCTGACATGAGAGGCCCGCTAACCCGGGGCAGCCAGCCCAAGATCGTTGCAGTAGCGCTTATTAGCGAACGAGATCCCTTATCACCGCGGATAGCCCAGTCATTGGCGCAGATACTCCAGTTCGGCTTAACGGGCCCTGAACTGAAATGGAGGCAGGGAGCTCCCGTTCCGTGTTGGAGGCCCTGACCCTTGCATTGTCTCACTGTGAACTCGACATAAGCTCTCGACCTCCCTTTCATTG